CTTGCCTTCCTCATCTTGTTGCATCAGAGTCACAATCCTGGCTCTGCATGCTTCCGTGTGTGGCAACACGGTAGATTGGCCCAGCAAAATGCATGTGCATCCTGGGCACCCATCTGTAGGCGTGTACTTCTCGACGTCTGCCTTCCGGATGTAGATCCTCTTCTGCATAGGTGGCGCCATGACATGAACTGCTGTGGCACCTCCATCCTTGGCTCTCCAACCAAGACAACGGCTTCTCCAGCCGCTCCGGCACGTGGCGTGCCCGGTGACCTCCATGGAAGCCCTCGTAGGGCGTCCCAACCGTCGGCTACCCAACGGTCACAGTCCGCCAGTCTGCGGACTCCAGTGCCTCTCTTGACACCATCTGCTGTGATCACCAAAAGTGATCCGGTACGACCATGGTGGCCGATGTACCGGCCTTCCTTAAGATGTCGTACTCCTTCTCCTACCTCACGGTAGTACAACTTTTCGCCTATAGCGATCGCTGGCTTTCGCCAGTTCTTACCACAACGCCTGTGTGCGGCCGTCCGGTCCTTTGCGGTACCGGCACATCAGGTCTGCCGCATGCCGCGGAAGCCATGCCAGGACGGGATCGTGCTCACGTAGAACCTTGCCGATCGTCTCTTCTAAAGAAGACCTCAAGACTCTTACCTGCCTCTTGACCTCACGGACTGCATTTTCCGCCAGTCCATTGCTCCGATGGTCACCCACCGGGGACTCCTGTGGGACGTTTTCCACTCCAGCCTCACGGGCTGCCTGCTCCTTAAGAGCAACAATCGAATGCTCACCATCACTCATCATGACCGCTCTCCGATAGCCTAAGTGCTTCAGAAAGTTGGCGAAGAACTTCACGGCATAGGGTGTAGGACCCTTTGCATCCACAAAAGTGGCTGACCACCAAGATAGGCTTGGCTCTTCCATCTTCCTTGCCATCTGTAGTCATGAAGGTGTAGTCGCTCGCGATGATGGGTAAACCGTCATCTCTCTTACTCTCCCTATCTCGAGACCTGTGTTGCTGACCCAGGCCTCTCCCGGCAACGCAATGCCGGCACCAAGTCCTGTGCTGAACATGGCCTGTGGACTCATGCTCGTCCACCTCCGCCCTTGTCGGGCTCGCTGGTGCGTGCAGCAACGCAGGCGGTGCAATCTCCTCACTCTCCTCTTCTCTCTCAGGAACACCCTCAGGTCGGCCCTCAGGTGCTCCCATGTCCTCATCTCCTCGTCCGGCGGGCACGGCATCATCTGCCGCTGCCATGGCTTGGGCCGGACTTACACCACTGTGGGCTGCCGCCCAAAACCCTGAGTAGGTGCCTTCGCCTTCAGGTAGAAGTTGTAGACACCCTTCTCCTGGTACACCGGAATCCATGCCTTCGCATGGTGCTTGTTCTTCTCCTTCTCAATGAGCTCCAAGATCTTGCCAGAAACCTTGGAGTCCTGCGGGATCAGATTCCCGCCATGCTCGTCCAGCACCGCAACTCTGCCGTGCTTCAAGCATTTGTAGGCCGAGACCAAGGGTTTGTGTACCGGAGCCAACGGGCCTGTGACACTACAGCAGTGCCCAGTCCCACGGACCAGCTCGCCTGAGGCCGTCTTGAACATAACCTCAGTTCCTTCCTTGACCGGCACTTTGTCTGCCCAGTATGATGGGATTGCTGTCTGAGCTGCACCGGTGCCCAAATTGAAGCGGACCCATTCCATAGCCTGGAGGTCTTCTCCAGCTGTAAGTGCACCCAGTTCAAACATACCCACATCGAGCTCTCCTTCGGGTTGTTCTTCCTCATGGGCTCCCTCACCTGTGTCCTCTTCCAGTGAGTTCGCTCCTTTGTGCTTACCCTTGCTCTTGCCTTTCTTTCCACCTCCTTTTGAGCCTTTGCTTGAGCCTTTGTTTGAGCCATCCTTCTTTTTACTCCAGCACTCCGCAGCTTTATGCCCGGCTTTACCGCAGTTAAAGCAAACTATATCCTTGGAAGTTGAACCTTTTCCCCCACTGCCCTTGTCTTTACCTTTGCCCTTACTTTTGCCCTTTCCACCGGATCCCTTGCCTTTGACCAAGCTGTTGATGACCTTCGTGAGGCTGTCCACGTCCATAGGCGCCGGACCGCTGTCCGATGAGGATGCTGCGCCAGGGCGTGAAATCGGCGCCTTACTTCCCAAAGAGGATTCAATCACAAGGTCAATTTCTGATTTCATCTGTGCGTAGGTTGTGAGGCGTCCTTTGTTCAACAAAAGGTGGCGTTCAATGTCTGAGGGTACAAGCAACTCCAAGCTGGTCGCCTTTATGTCTTCTGACAGGTCTCTCTCACCCGCTTCGTTCTTGCGATTTTCATATCGCCTGAAAAGGTCCTCGAGTTGCTCTATTGCGGCCCTCACATTTTCCCACCGTTTCACACGTTCTGGGTTCAATATCGCCCGGAGTATGTTTCTCTTCCGTCCGGCGGTTAGGGGATCCCACCGGCGGTGGGTTCTTCTCCACGCTTCGAACCCATTAGAACAGCCTATCACCCAGTCCTCAGTCTCTCCATGGGTTAAGGAAGAAAGCAAACGAAACAATTGGTCCCCTATGTCTGGTAAACCGGACACCCCGTCCGGCTCCCCATGCGCGGCCTCGACTTCGTCCACAGTGATGTCGTCGGGCCCATCCTGATCGAGGCACCAATCCAACACTTTCTCAAATTCCTTCCCAAAGATGCTGACAACAAGGTTTGTGACTGAACGCACACACTTCCGGAACGTATGCTCTTCATTGTTGAACCGTTCCGGCTTACCAATCCCCTTTGTGTCAACCAACAGCTTCCTGGGTTCCTCTCTTTTTGTATTCCTGGCCAATTCTGTCATGCTTTCGGCCAGCCGGGTCAACAGGGCAGTTTGTTCCTGTTGCCTCTGTTGCTGCTCGCGCAGCACTCTATTTTCCTCAAGGATCTGCTGCAGTTGCGCTTGTATGGCAGCTAATTCTGCCATTGGCCCTCGGCAGACTATACGTCTGCCTCGCTATCCTCGGCGGGTTCCTCCACAAAGATCTCGGACCCCGAAGTGTAGGTTTCCGAGTCTGTGGACTCCTGCTCAGTCGGAAAGCGGACTCCGGACCACTTAGGCTGCGGAGCTCCCGGTGGCTTCTGCTTGGGCTTGAGGAACACCGGTGGGCCTTTGCTGCTTTTGGCCACTTCCTCACCCGGCTTTTCCTCGGGCTGCTCCTTGGGCTGCAGCTTGAGCTTGGGCTGCAACTTGACCTTTGCTGCAGGCTTTCCGGATGCTGTCTTGGGCACAGGTGGCGGCTTCTTCGCCGCGGGCTTGGGGTTCACTGCAAGGGCCTTTGATGCAGGTGGTGACTGCAGCAGCAGTGGTGACAGCAGCAGGTGCGATAGGCGTCGCGCCCTTCGCGCCCTTGCCTTGGCTCGCGATGCGCGCAGCACGCTCCAACACCCACGGGTATTGGGCGCGGTGCCTCTCGTCGCACGAGCTGCAAGCCTTTGCTAGGCTGTCACGGGCCAACACCTGGGCCCTGATCGCTGCCTCTACGGCAGCTCCGGCTGTTCCCTGAGCCGGTGCTTTGCTCTCGGCAATTTCCTGAGCGATTGCCTTCCTCAGGCGGTAGTTGCTGGCCAATGCAGACTCCGGGGTGGCTTTGCCTGCACGCACTCTGCGCAGTGCTGCCTCTTGCGTGGCTAGCGCCACACTGATCACGCGGCCTGCAGAGTTCGCCGCGGCTGCCACCTCCGGCAGCAATGCAATTGGCTCAGCGCCCGGTGCTGCTGCCTCCTCAGCTGCTGCGGCTGCTTTGGCAGTGGGCTCCTCCTCCTCCTCCGAGGTGCTTCCACTGGTCGGCCTTCTCTTACGGCGGGTCAACTCCCGCTTTGGCCTTTGCCTTGGACCACCTGGAGGGGACTTTGGCTGCACGTTCCTGCCAAAGCCTTTGGGGACAGGCACCTCGTAGCCGTACTCTTCTTCGAACTTATCGAGGGCTTCCTGGACTGCAGGCGGGATCGGGCTGTTGCGCTTCAAGTTCAACTTGACCAAGCCCCGCAAGAACCGGTAGGACCTCGCCTCCTTGGACCGGCGTCCGTCCTTCCACTTACCGGCTGAGTTCTCCTTCACGCGGGGCCAGGGCGCCTTGCTCTTCTTCTTCTTCTCGCCCTTCTTGCGTTTGCCCTTTCCCTTGCCTGCTTCTTCGGGCTTCTCCTCAGCTGCTGCAGGGGCCTCCTCCTCTGATTCTACTTGGACCTCCTCTTCCTCAGCTGCTGCTTCGCTGTGCTGCTGGCAGCCTCCGAATGCGATGAGGACGGGGCTGCCAGGGCGATCAAAGGAGATCGCCAGTTGCCCCAGGCGTCCGAGTCCGACGCTGAAGCCTCTGTGGATCTATTGACGATCCACCCTTTGCGCGCCGGCTTCTTCGGCTCTGGGGGCTTATCCTCTCTCTTCTTTCTCTTCTTTGGCGGCTCCTCTGGCTCCTCTGGCTCCTCAAGCAGCTTAGCTAAGATCCTCTCTGTCTCAGCTGCCTGCTGGGCAACGCTCTCCTCGTTGGGGGACCAATCCGGTCCCGAGGCCAATTCCCTCTTCAGCTCCTCCGAGCTGCTCAGGCCCGGTCTCCTCCACCGGGGCCTCTTCGGGCAGCTCCTCGGTCTCTGGCACGACCGAAGCGCCCTCCTCGCCTGGCGGCTCTACCGCCGCCGGGCTCCTGCCGCGTCCGCGGCCTCCCCGCCTCCTAGGCGGCACTGATCCACGCCCTCTGCTGGCGTAGTACCAAATTGAGCGCTTAGGTCCCTCTGAACCTTTACTGCTCCCCGCTACCATGAAAATCTATTTGGCCGCTTCGGAGCGCCTTATTTTCTTGAGCCAAAACATGTCAGTAGTCTCAACTGTACAACTGTATATGACAACATGCGTATTGGGCTACATATTTCAACACAAGGTGAAAAAACAACAAACACAATGCACACCCATTTTTGGAGAGGAGACGCCCGTCTCCCCGCCAAACTCTCGCATCCCGCTTCAGCAGCTCAGTCCCGGAACTCGAACTTCAGGTCTTCGCCCCGGTGCTCCGCCAGAAGCAAGGCCTGCCCGGCCCGGAGAGCGAAACGACCATCAATTTCTGACCGGGTCGACTCCCCAATTTCTTTTCTCAGCACTATGGTTCTTGTCAACAACCGGAGTCGCTTTCTCCTGGGTGTCCGTTTTTCTTTTTTTTGCTAGAAAGAAGGATCCCTAGACAGATGGCGGCCAAGCGAGGGCTTGGTGGCGGCGATGGTCTTAAGTGGACATATCTCACTTCCCGAGTGGATTGCCTGGAAGAAAATCAAAACTCAGGGAGTGAGACATGGGATATGTGGGTATGGGTCCAAATTAAGGGGACCGCAGGTTTTAGTCCTTGGTTCCATTTACAAGGGCAAGCCATTTTGGGGTTACCCTATTTTCGACAACCACAGCCATGTGTCGAAGTAGGTGTTCCCCCAAAATGGTGGGGGGTGTTTGCATGACCCTAAAAAGAAAGGCTTCTCAATAGGTGTTTGTTTTTAGGGGACCCCAACAATTTGCCTTGTTTTCCCGTGATGTCCCTTGAAACTACAAAAACGGGCTACCTTCAAAAGACAAACGCTTCCAAATAAGGGACCCGCAAAACTGTGGTTATCCTTGTTGAAATACGCGCAGGTGGTAATTACCCCCAACAGCAACCCGGGAAGAACCTTGTACATCTCTTGAGTTAGCAAGGCCTTGGTAACTATAGGTTATATCACCCATCATCAGGATTTACTCAACTCAAGTGGACAACAGGGGTGTTGAAATTACATTGCCGTTACACCAACATGGAGAGTGCGAAGCAAACACACGCCAAGCTCGGCTGAATGTCGAAACGAGGGTGCGCTATGTTTTGAAAGGCAACTGCTGGTCGGTGAAAGGAAACTAAAGCAACTACCCTCCCACCAACAAACATGAAGGTGCGTAACCATCTTTTGAAAGACTACCAGGTCATGTTTGTTGGTGGACAAGTTAGCCAACATCACAATCTCCAGTTCCCTCAATTGGGTCAGTAGCCAGAGTACCAAGCGCTGCATACAAATACAGCTGACAAACCACTCAGGGAACTTACTACCCGGAGAAAACTATCCACCTACCTCTGGCGGTCGCGCGCAAACGAGAGGCCTTGCTGGGCGCCATGTCGTCCGCCTGGCGAGACCGCAACTGAGGGCTCGAAAATCCCTAACTTCGGAGCGGGCTGGTTGGTCCTTTGTGAATCGGTGCAAAAGGACACCCATGCTTGATTGATCCTGGACTTTTTGCTTACTTAACAATCTTACCTCTGAAATTGTGCTCCCCCGCAACAAGGAACAAAACAAACTAAACTGCCCTCTATGAGAAAACCATTGCAGAAGTGCGGCAATTTCACCCAACCATAACTCTTGCATGCCTGGGCAACTTACAATTACTTACCCGCTGCAAATAAGAAATGGATAATGGATCCATAGGAAAAAGGCCTCCAAATCATGAAAAACATGGCAACCCCCCGGAACGTGTCATTACAAGTTATAAGAGTGTCTCAAAATGCGGGGACCCAGAACAGAGGCTCCAAAACAAAAAGACGCACCACTTGCCCAAAAGCCGCGTCCTCAGTCCCATCTCCGCTTCCGGTTCCGATTCGCGCGCGCCTCGAGTTCCCCGAAAAGCGTCGAGCGCAAAGTCAGCAACTCTGGCTCGCACAGCTCGGTGATGAACTGATCCAGTTGCCTTGGCATGCCAAACAGATCCGACAAAGGGACTTGCTTTTTTCGTGGTTGAAAGGAGACATGCAGGGAAAACGAAAGCTCAACAACTTAAAAGGGCAAGCTAAGTCCTGCCGCGGACAAAACAGGATCCAGTGTTGTCAAAAAGCGAGCTGTGTAGCAACCATGGCCATAACTATATACAGCATCCCCCAACTCTTGTCCCATGTGCATGACTGTAGCTTACCTCACACGCCGGACAAAGACTCCTGCAAGAAGTTGATCGTTTGCTCTCAGATCGGCATGTTCGGAAACGTGGCTAGACTTAGTTGACAGGGGAACTTGAGGAACATCCAAACCTTCAAATACCCGTGAAATTGCTGATTTCTGAGAAGAACGACGGTTGAGATGGCTGGTGATTGGAAAAATGGTTTGCTCGTTGCTAAGTGGGTGAAAGGTCATCCTTTTGCTCGTAAGAGCATGGGCATGAATACCTGAAGTCCCCTTCTGACCCGAATCAAAATGGGTTGCCAGGACCCCTTTCTTTTGGGTAGTGACCTGATGTTTGATTCGGGTCAGAAGGAGACTCCAGAGATACCGAGTCGACCCAAACTCCGACCAACTTTTTTGTGGAAGTCGGGCTCTCCCGAAGAAGGTGGATCCAAAGCGTTACATGAACATGTCTCAAAAGGGAAGAACCCCCCCAGAAATTGTGGGTTCTTTGAGGTGTCCATGTTAAACTGTGTATCCAAACACAAATCTGGTCCTTTTTTGAGACCCCTCACACGCTATCAGAAGCCTGGAAACTGTACAGGTAGCTGGATCTTATACAGGCATCCTAAGACATCATGATCCGTCATTGCGCAAACGAAATCTCATCCCACAAATGGGGAAAGCAGCGGCGGAAGGGAACCTCACTGGACAACCCACACAGGGTACATTGGGTACGTTGCCCATACCGGAGAATATGGGTGCCTCCTTGGTTTCTAAGGAAAAATCTGGTGGGCCCCTGATGTCCTTCCCAAACAAACTGTTCTAGACCACCAACAGATTTGTGCGTTGCTCATATGGGCATGATTTGATTCGGGACCCCTTGGTGGACATCATTCGGGGTTTCATGATGGCCAACCACTTTTTAAAGGTGGCTTCGTATAAGAAGGATAGCCATACTTTTCGGAAAGACCATTTTAGTGTCAAACAAAAAGTCTAGACTTGTGTGGGCAACCCACTTAGGAAGTAAGTATAACAAGTAGCCATATAGGCCATACAGGTGTGCCTTTTTTGGGGAAGCCCCAAAATGGACTTTGGTTTTCCTTTTGGTGTCTCTTAAGCAGCCAACCAAAAAAGAGGCCTCACTGAAAAAACAAAAACAAAAACCAACAACGAACGCATACAGAGAGTGGGGATGAGTTCCACCTGATTTTCTTGCAAAGCTCTGCAGGATCTTCGGCTTCTCCTCATCCAGTTGCCGCAAAAACCTCTCCGAAGACACCTGGAAGCGGCATTGCGCCCCCAACCCCCACGTTGGTACTGAGCGTGCCGCAAACGCATTGGGATACGTCCCCTTTTTTTTGGGGGGGAACAACTCAACATGTCCAGCAGTGATAGATTCCCCTTACCAACATGGAAGAATCACAGATCGGAAGCAAGGCCTCGCAACCCGCCAGGCTGGATTGGACCCAATCTGACCCGGTGCATTCGAGGCTTTCGGTTTGCCACTGTAGCAGGTGCTGTCAGCCTTCGCCCATCACGTCCTTTTGTTTCCAAGTGGTTCCTATGGGAGACTACCAGCATGGCCATGACATTTCAGAGTTGAACCCACCTCAGGTCACTTTTGATGGACATAAAGCCCCCACCGAAATGATGTCCACCAAAGGGTCCGCCATCCAAATTATCAACCACATATTCTTTCTGTTTTTTTCTTCTGGTCTTTTGTGTTTAACAAAACAGGTTTCCAACCATCGGCCATCCTTTTCAAACAAACCTTGGGCCACTTGGGCTCTTGGATCCCGTTCAAAATCCAAAGCTCGTAGGTTACGCCAAGATGTTTCGTGTATCTGGAAAGGCCACGTAGGGGTCATAACCCAAGTGAGTTGTAACCTTCGATGCCAACAACTTACCCTCAAAGAGGCGGCCACTTTCCGAAGGCGAGCTAGGGCCTGTTTTTTTTTTTTGCGGGTGTTCCTGGGAAAAAAAAAACCATCCTGACATGCGGGAAAGACTCTTTAACTCTCCGACCCCTACGGCTTGACAGGTGGGAGGGGCCGGAGAAAACCAATAGAAACTTGCTGGTTCCATAGGCAGGGAAGGAGAAATGGAATGACCCCTATAAACAATCTTCTATGGTTTCCTTTCAGGAAAACCCATGGAAACCCTGGGTTCATTCCCAACCCCTGGGGCATTCCCTTCGAAAAACCAGCAAGGAAACTTCTCCGAACAAACATCCTAGGTGACGATGCCTTGATCCAGTGCAGATTCTCCAAGAGCTCTCGTTCGAAATTGTCCACCTGCTCCTTCGCAGTGCTGGGAAGCAACCCCCAAATGATCCCCACAGTGGACGCCCAACCCCCCAAAACAGCTGATTTCCTGTTCTCAACCCCCCCCCCCCAAGAGTGGACGCCCATTGAGATGACATTGAGATAACCCTTTCTGTTAAACCAAGATGCGCAAGACCCCCACAACTTTGAGATTCGTTCACCTCACAGGGGGCTCCCTTGCGGACTCCTTGCGGCGGGTGTGAGGACGGGGTGCCCACTCACAGCCGAATTGCTTTCAGTCTCACTCGAAAGAGCCTATTTTGGCACCAGATTCCGTCAGGACCCTGAGGGGTGTCCCACGTAAAAGCAACTCCTTGACTGTTGGGTGACACATCCCCCTATTAATCTCCCAGGTTGATCTATCCGGAGTGGACATCTATCCTGGAAGGCTCCTAACAGCATTTCCTACTGACGTTCCACAGTGAGCCTTTTTGTTTGGTTCATCCACAGTGGGCACGCACTCGGCCACTCAGTGTCGCAGGGGCTTGATCAATGGCTTCCCCAAATGCTTCAATGGGTTCTCCATGCCCAGATTGACACGAATCCCAAGACCATCATTTGCGCTGGAAACCTTGGGCTTCGAGGAGGTCCTCCTTGTAGGGAACCGGGGGACTTCCTTCCGAGGAGCTGCCTCGTGGCCATTCGATTCGGTCCCTGAGTGGATTGCCAAAAAACAAAAAAAGAAGTCTGAACGAAAGCATGGCCCAACCCCGGCCCAACCCCAACAGTTTGAAGTCCAACTCAACTAGGTCCAGTAGAGAGCTTAGAATAAGTTGGCACCCCTTTTTCTGGCTTGTCTATTTTCGTGGAACCCAAAACCAACCAAAAAAGAAAGGGGAGAGAAGGGCACCAATTGCTTTTTGGACCTAGGGCAGTGAGGGCACTCCTTGGCTCTGCGCACGGCCGTGCCGTACTGGGACTCCAACGGTGAGCCTGCAGAACCGAAGCAACCGGCGCGCGACTGCTTTGCGCGCGAGTTCCCCACCCCCCCCCCCGTTTCCCAAAAGAGTCTGAGACACTCCGATGCTTGAGGGTTCCTCATTCAGATTGGTTGGAGGAAACCACCATGTCTCAAAAGAGTCTGAGACACTCCGATGCTTGAGGGTTCCTCATTCAGTTTGGAGGAAACCAAATTCGAAAACCATTTTGGGGGGTCACCCTCCGACACCTACCAACAGGAGACCTGTCGACACTGGGTTCTGTCAAGGCAATCTTGAATCCTTCCCAATGCGGAAGGGACGATGGAGATTTCAGCCAGCCAAATGTGTGGTTTCCTTGTGTCCTTTTGAACCAACACACAAAGGCACCCTCGAAACATGTTGCACTTCGGCTTCACTTCCTTGTCAGGACAGGTTTCAAGGCAGCACATCAGCCAAGGGCACCACGTGTTGTAACATGTGTTTTTGGCTACCATGTTGATCGCAGTAAATGATATGTTGGGACAGTGACTTGCTAACACTTGCGTCGTGCCGGGCAGACACTTGAACCCTCAACATCTGCAAATACTGGATCAAGATTCCTGTTCAATGCCCTTAGCAAGTTGCTAAGCGTTCAGCCTGTTCCTCAGGGTGAAGTTCCCTATTCTGTTCAGTGCTTCTTTTTTAAAAAGCCAAACGAGGTTAGCTAATCAAAATAACGATGCTTTAAACAGAATGGGGGAGGTTGCGACAAAAAACGCATGAGACCCACCGCCCCTAAGCGCAAACCCTGTGCATGTCTCAAACCAAAAAGCCAAAGTCTCTGAGACATCCCCAAGTAAAAAAAACTTCATGGGCTTTCGCTCGTTTCACCCCATCGGCTGCGTCCAAAAGCATAAGAAGAGCGCAACGCATCCGAGGGATCGGCCGATCTCCTCGGCCAGGTCCTCGAGTTGACGCATCTGCTGCACCTGCGGCTTTTTGGGCCTAATGAAACTTAGAGGAAACTCAATCAGCCAGGGGGTCAGTTGGGCGACTGTTTTTCTTTCTTGTTGTTCTTCGTGTTTTGTTGAGGGGAAACCTGGTTGAATCTAGTTGCTGCTGTTTTTTGTTGTGTTTTTCTTTTGGGGGGGGGGGGGCAAACCTGGTTGAGTCCCTAGTTGTAGAAGCCCCAAACAATCTACAATTCAATCTCTTTGGCTCCTTGAAGAACTACCAGACCGTATGCTGGGGCCAGTTCCTAGCTGGTGCTTGAACACACCCAATTTGCTTGCTCATTGACTTGTAAGGACAAAGCTAACCCTTTTAGCAGTCTTCCTTTTCTTTTGTGGGGAGCCCACCGCACTATACGGGGGACTTCGAAAAAGGGCCATATTTGTTGAGGCAGCAAGGCCATGAACCAAGACGCGGGTTGCAGTGATGGAAGCGGGCAAAGACTGTGGATGGGCTAAATCCTGCACCACTTTCAATCCATGGAAAACCATTGTTTGTTGGTATTTGCACGGGAAGCATCATTCCAAGGTTTCTTTGGTGGTGTAGGACTTCGGCCATCCACAGTAGGAAAGGGCAGAGGCAAAATCGGCAAATACAGCAGCAGCTCTTTCGGAGCGGCTGGAAACACTGGCAGTGCGCATAGCAAGTACAGTCGCTGAAAGATCTACCGATCCTGTTTCAGGGGATACATCATGCACTGCAATATCAGGTGTTGGCGATTTGCAGAAAACATCCGGTGCTCTTGAACATCGTTTGTCCCCCACAACACTTTGCTGGAAACTGGCAGGTGCTTCCTGTTCAACAGGTAGTTGCTCAATAACCTGGAGATTCATTCTCCGGCCTCTTCCTAGGCGTTTTAGTTCCTGGTAGTTTTGGGCGTGCTGGGCGTTCTAAGTGGTTTCTAGGAGTTTTGCGCGACCCCCGAGCCCAAAAAGCGTCTTTTTCTGATTTGCGGGCGTTTGCGGGGTTTTGCGGGCGTTTGCGGGCGTTTTGCGGGCGTTTTGCGGGTAATTCTGGGCGGGAAAAACGTGAAACCGTACCAATTCTGAAATCTCACATAAATATAGGAGCTTTAGTAGTTTTAGGCGACTTCACGAAAAAAACATCGAGATTTACGAAAAGCAAGTCAAAGCCGAGAACTACCAGGAAATTCATGGAGAATGAATCTCCAGGAAGCTACAAAACACAACTTTGCCACTGCGGAAACCATCTACACCATGGTGAAGGTAGATGGCACAATTCCCGTTCTGTAGGTAAGCGAGGGGTGTGTAACTGTCGTGGTTAAACCAAAAGGAGTTGGAATTCTACCCTCTAGTTTTCTCCACCACGTTCCACCTTTTTGCCCACCCCAAGGTAGACTTAAACCCAAGGGTGTCCCTTTGAAACAAATCACCGGCTAGTCAATAAGGGAAACCCTGTTCCTGTTTCCCCAACTGTAACTGGAGTCGTGACTAAACCCTAATGATCCCAAATGAGTTGGACTTCTGCCATCCAAACTTTTCCCCAAATAACTGCAACTAAAAGCATAGGTATTACTCGTTGAACGTCAACGCCACATCCCTGCGCCCGTTCGAAACGCCACTATGGGCGAGATGAGCCTGGCGCTTGTAGTAGGGGAACTCCCGCTCAAGCTTCTCCACCTCCTCCCTCGCAAAAAGAAAATAAACCGCGTTGACTGCCCAGTCTTCGCTCAAACCGGGTGTGATACATCATTGAAAGACTTCAAACATGGCGATGTGCTTTTGGTTTCCCTTTTGACGAAAAGGTGGAAAGGGTATGGTCGTCAAACAACAAACACCCAACTGTCGACAGTTGGCCCGGGTCAGCAACGTTCGCACTGTGTCATTCGCAGCTAGTCACCTCCATAGATCCGGGCAAAGTAGTACAATTCAAAAAACAACTCACTGCTCCTCCTTTGACTCGCGATATCGCCAGGGTGCCTCAAAGTTCGTGTCTCAAAAATCGGAGACCCACAAAATGGTGGGTATCCGTTTGGCTTCCCTTCAAACCACCCTTTCAAAGGGTACAGAGCCTCAAAAGACATGTGGGAATCAAACAATAAATAAATAAATAAATAAATAAATAAATAAATAAATAAATATATATATACAATGGACATGCAAGCGGTCCACGTCAAAAGGGGGCTAAACAAATACACACTTGATTCCCATGAGAAGGTAGTGTGGTACAGTACCCTGCTACCCCATTCTAAGTATTTCAGCCCAAGTACCTTTCCTATACGCCGTGCTTGACGCTTTCCAATACCGTTCCAATCATTCTGGAGAGTTCGCTTTTCCCCGAAGTGAGGTCGAAATACATTGGGCAGACTTGGCAGTCTATATCCCACACCCCGGTGCCATGGACAAACAGGCACCCTTTGTTCCGTAGTTTAATTTAACGGGACCCAACCGACCTCCCCCCCCCCCCCAAAAACAAAGAAGGAGGCAAAATAGGGTGGCTCCCAAAATTGTGTGTTTTTCCTCTGCTTTCCCTCCTCCAATTGAACCATGAACAACGTAGCCTTAAAAAAGCATATCACCTTGTTTCAAAGCACCGAAATGGAGATGTGTTGCAAAATGGACCCAAATACACAAAAAACAAAAGCTAATTTCAGGTTTGTTCAAGTGCCCATCACACTCCACCCCCACCCCCGCACCCCCCTTAACCCCCACACGCAACCACCCCCAACCGACCCCCCAACCCCCCCAGCCGGGCACTTCTCAGGCACCGGCAGATGCAGCAAGAAGCGCTCGATCTCCGGCGGCGGCGGCTCGGCGACCCGCGGCTCGTGCTGCGACGTCCAGGCCCAAACCGGCTGTGCCGAGGCCTGCGTGGGATCGTGGGATCGGCGTGGGTGAGATCAAGCGCCTGATGTTGACCCCGGATGAAAAAGAAACCCTGTTTTTATATATATATATATAGTCCCGTGTTCCGTGTTGTTACCCCCCCAGATGGTATGGGTCCCCCAGACCCCCCCCCCCAACCCGAGACCCCGAGCCCCCGGATCTTGGCATCTACGGTCCCACCCTCACCCCGACCCCCTAAACTCACACCCCGACACCCCGGCACCCCCACCCCCAGGACAAGCCAACCCGCAACCAACCATAAACCAACCCTAAACTAACCCTAAACTAATCCTAAACTAACCCTAAATACACCCTAATCCAAACCCTAAACCAAACCTTAAACCGTAAACCTCTAAACCTAAACCAACCCTAAGCCAACCAACATAAACCAACCCTAAACTAACCCTAAATACACCCTAAATACACCCTAAACCAATCCCTAAACAATAAACCCTAAACCTAAACCAACCCTAAACCAAGCCTGAATACACTCTACACCAACCCTAGATACACCCTAAACCAAACCCCAAACCGTAAACCTCTAAACCTAAACCACCCTAAACCAACCCTAAATCAACATAAACCAACCCTAAACCAACCCTAAACTAACCACAAATACGCCCTAAATACACCCTAAACTAATTCTAAACCAACCCTAAACCAACCCTAAACCACCACAACCCAACCGCAGGACCACAACCACAGGGGGGGGGGGGGTACTTGTCTGACCCATGACCATTGGGGGAGGGGGGAGGGGGGGGGGCTGGCAACGCTGAAGCATTTATACGTGTTGTCTTTTTTGGGGGTGTTCCCCTCCAAAAGTGAGGAATCTTACACTAAGTCCACGTTCCGCGTGTGTTTGAACACGTAGTGGGTAAGCCTTGCAAGTGGCGAACACCACACACTAGCTTGGCAACGAGTGCCAAGGCTGCCCTGGTTTACAGGGGTCGCGTCAGAAAGGCGATGGAAGAGATCCCTAAAGAAACAACACAAAGAGGGTCACTTAGTGCCTTCTCTGCCATTTGCTTAAGCCTGGAAAAAATAAGAAGTATTCCAGTAGTGATAGATTCCCTTTAACACCAACATGGGAATATGTATATATATATATATGTTAAAACACAACAACAACAACAACAACAACAACAACAACAACAACAACAACAACAACAACAACAACAACAACAACAACAACAACAACAACAACAACAACAACAACAACAACAACAACAACAACAACAACAACAACAACAACAACAACAACAACAACAACAACAACAACAACAACAACAACAACAACAACAACAACAACAACAACAACAACAACAACAACAACAACAACAACAACAACAACAACAACAACAACAACAACAACAACAACAACAACAACAACAACAACAACAACAACAACAACAACAACAACAACAACAACAGCAGCAGCAGCAGCAGCAGCAGCAGCAGCAGCAGCAGCAGCACAACAACAACAACAACAACAACAACAACAACAGCACAACAACAACAACAACAACAAACAACAACAACAACAACAACAACAACAACAACAAGCAGCACAACAACAACAACAACAACAACAACACAAACAACAACAACAACAACAACAAAAAAAAAAGGAGCAAATGGAATTTCAGATGTACTTCACAAATTCAAAAAAAGAGTCAACGTGCATCAAGGCACTTGGAGCCAAGACGAGTTCATCCACGCCTTTGAACATGATGCAACACCTATTGCTTCAACACTATTCTGTTGGTTTCCCTGAAACAGATGGCCAGAAGCTATTCACCACAATTTTGGCCCACTGGTTGCTGCTGCTTGAGGGTCACCAATGAGATGATTTCAGCTTTTGTCACAAGAGTGCAGTTGGACCTCGTTGGAAAATGAGAAAGACAAAACCAACCGCTTGGATGTGGTCTCGTTTCGCACAGGCCTAGTTAATCTATTTCGTCAAGAACTTGTCTTGGCCTCGCAAAGGCTTTTACTTGTTGTTCCTGGAAGATGTGCCTTAGGGCCGTGAATTCCATTTGACTCCTGGCATTAAAGAGTCTACCCAAAACCGTGTACTTTGGTGTTCGGCCAAGATAGTAAGCTGTCTACCTAGGCTATAGAACACTTGTAAGCACCCAGAAGTGCAGTTAACCCTGCTACTGCAGATTGTAAGCCAAATGGGTAAACACTTGCTAACTCAGCTGGACATCTGAGTAAGGAATCAAAACGGGCGAAGCCACCCAGTCTTCATAAGAACATCCCCTTCTAAGAAACTATCCGTCCGGCTTGGATTGCTCACTCGCAACCATTCAATTTCCAAATTCCGCTCAACATGTTGGCTGTTGCCCCCATGAGACTTGCTTTGAACAATATGGGTTCCATGTGAAACTGCAGGCAAGATTAACTCACTTCCTGAGTGGGCTGGCCAAAACAACGCGTTTTATCACTGAAATGGTCTCCCCAACAAGTCGCGAACTCATGGAGTAAGGTAGAGATGCAAAATTATTCCCTCAAAAACCCTCGAAATAGGAATCGGACCCCCAAGCATGGTTGGCTTCTGCATTTTGTTTCTTCCCGCGAAACCCAAAACCCTGTTGGAACCCACGGAAGGACGGGTTCGGCCTTTCATCGCCGTTCCGGTTCTGTTTTCAGGTGGGTGTGGCTCAAAATTAAACAGGAGGGGCAAACCGCAGGTGTTGGCCTTAATGTTGACCCAGGATTAGTAAACCCGTCCCATTATTAGGGGGGTGTTCCCTCCAAAAGTGGTCTGAATCCAACCACTAAAAGGAGACGGCCCCCTATGAATCAACCAGAAATTCCACTTAGATCCGGGGTGAACCTTAGCTTTTCCACTTCCCAGGGCACCCCTTTTTGGACTTCCGGGTTCTTGGAGCCACCGCCCTCCTCGCCCCCTCCTCAATGGCGTCTTGCACCCGCAGAGTCAGCGCATCCAGCAGCTCCTGGCTGCCCTTCAGCAAGTCCTACGTCGAGCCATGTGGGGTGGTCGGTCGTGGCGCGCCCGGTGGTGGGGCTCGGAGGCTGGGGCTCGGAAGCCGCGGGTTTTGTGACACAAAAAGGGCTCCCCCAAAGACGGAAATCCCCGCTGAAAGAGCGGGGAGATTCCCAAAAGTGTCACAGAAGTGGGGATAAAGCCCCGAGAGAGTCCCACAACCCTGATAAGGCGCATTCAGAATCTATAAAATCAGGTGGAGGACCATCCCTGGACGTCCCTGGACCATCTCTCTGCTCATGTTTTGAGAAATCCCCCTAGGCGCCCCCCTTTTGCAAGCAAACCTGTCTGACAAGTTGTTCATTAGACGATCTTAGATCTTGCACTGCCCAAGCGATGTTCTGGAAATATCGATGGAACCTGATCCGCCATGGCAAAAAAAGAAAACAAATTTTCTACTCGGTTGCGAAATCTGCGAAGCCCTGCTAAAAGTGAATAACTTTTAGTGGTTTAGTACGGAAAACCCATTCGTTGGCAAAAAGTTAAAGTCCTACCGGCCCTTGGTAAAATGCACCAAACTCTACTTCAGCCTAGCTTCCGAAGATCTTTCAGCTTCAGGGCTCGCATCTTGAAAAACCATCCATACTAACAAGGCCCAAGGCCCTCAATTCAAGATCCTGAAGAAGACGATCTCCCATCTGAACCTGTGTCCATGACAAATATCATATATCCCTTTGGTCTTCCTCTACATTGGTAACACAGCTGGTCTCCAAAATATTGATTAAGGTCTGTTTTTTTGGGAGGTACCCTTTGTGGGGTGGTCTTAAAGGACACCAAGAGGAAAACCACCACGGGGGGGTGTCCCCCAAAAAAAGACCACCAATTTCTTGAACGCTGTCGCCGGGTATCTTCTTCGAGACTGTATCCCAATCCAAAGCCACGCGATTGCCCAAGCCGTGTGCTGCGTCTGGCATGCTTCGCTATGGCGCCCGCCAGCTCGTTCCATGCATGGCCATGATCCTTGACGTGCTCGTGGCTGGCTGATGCCAAGCACCATGCCTGGAACATGGCCAGCGCGTGGCTTCCTGGCTTGGTCTTCCATGTGGCGCTGCGCCTGCCAGCGAATCGTAGGTGATCTCGGCAGCGCTTGGGCCCGTGTAAGACCTGCTCCAAACGGCCCTCCTCTCCGGAGGGATTGCGACCTTGACTGCACCGGCTGGGCCTACGAGAGCTAAAAGGGCACGATACCTCTCTTCAGGCTCCTTTGAAAGTGACCCAACTGAGTCTTTGCGACTTTGCGAGGGCTGAATCACAAAGTCTAAGCCTGCAAGTATTACACCGGTTTTTTTGGGGGGAGGACGACTCCATGGAAGCTTAAGGCTCCTTTGCCAGCCTTGCGTGGGTGTGTCGATTTTTTGTTTAATGGTTCCCCTTTTCGGGTGGTTTTAACAGGAAACCAGAAGCAAAACCCACTGTTTTGGGGTCGGGTACTTCGGACCTGACAGTCCCAAATTGTCACTTCTCGAGAGGATGGGCCAAAAAGTCCCATGCAATTTTTGACATCTCTACTCTTGGTATGGTGGCGACAAACTTTGTTTTTTGCAGACTCCCAGTAAAAATGAACAGAACAAAAAAACTGAAAAACCAAAAAACATGCCAAGAACGGTGAAGTTGCACTGAAGTTGGCCTTCCCCAAAGGTAGGGACAACTCCACGAACTCAGGAGCAACGATTCAAGATGTTATTGGGTATGGCCAAATGCCTCAAGATGGGCGACCCCAAATGATGGTCCTGCCTCCATATGTGGGTCAAAAATCGGTACACAAATATGGCGCAAGCTTCTGGTAAATAGAACCAAAGACTAAAACCTGCGGTCCACATCCTGGTTGAATTTTGACCCGTACCCATGCGTTTCCTCTTCCCAATGACAACCGAAGTCGGCCACCTGTCCATTTCCCGGTGGTTCCATTTTTGAGCCACGCCCGTACGTTTTCCCTTCACACCCAACGGCTTGCCACTCCCAACATCTCCTCCCGAAATGTGGAGCAGTCCAGCACCAGGCCCTGCACCAGATGTTGCTCCTGCGGTGTATATACCCCGAAACCACGTCAAATGGGGATATGCAACCCCTCTATTTGCCCAATCTATGAAGGGCATGCTATTCCCTTGGGTAATGGCTTGGGGGTGAAAAAAAGTTGCGACCGTTGCGACCGAGGGTTCAGGGTTTCAGGTGGACATGGTGGACTATAAAAGAAAGTCCCCAGATGGATGGCAGCGCGGACAAATGAGTTGTAGAGGGCTTTTACGTTTTGGGTCTCAAAATGGATGGCACTGTGGACAAATGGGCGTTTGGATGGTGCGTGAAAACCAGCCGCTTGTACCAAACACCAGCAAGCTGCACAAGCAAGTCCTAAAATTCGACCCAACCAGGGTTTGGGTCATGCCGCAGGATCATGGAATCTGCAAAAGAATTGGCCAAACCCATCCAAGTCACATGGGGCACGGAGTCAGAGCTCCAGTTCTGTCTCCTTTCATCGGGTCTCAAATCAATCTGACCTCGAATCTGAGGTGTTCACCCGCAGCAAGTCTGAGAGTCTGAGGACCCCTGGTTCAATTGTGGATGGTTCAACGGGTAATCATCGTTTCCCCAACTCTTAGAGTCCAGAGATCCCACCAAATAGCAGAATCAGTGGAGAGTCTGGCTATTGGTGGTGCCACTTTGACACATAAACGCGCAGCCTTAGACGTTTCCTTTCAACATCACCCCACCTAACTGAGAAAGCCTGCCAACAAGTGAACATCGATGTAAACCAGCAATGTTTCACATCTATTTAGTTCCCCTTAAAGGAGACCCAGAATCTGGTTGTCCAAATCCTTTGTTGCCCAGGTACCAACTCCCTTACCACTGTGACACACATCGGCTTCCCTAATTGTTCCGAGGTGGCTTCCCATTTCGCCTCAAGACACAGGGCTCAAATTTCCCCAAACCATCAATCCACACCACCGACTAGGGTTGTCTGAGCGGGATGGCTATTACCCCCTGCACAACAAGTTTGACTTAACAGGTTCGTGGAAAAAAACAGTTGCCCACAAAGAATCCATCCCTTCCATGTCTTTGTTTGCTGCCTAGTTTGTTTTTAATGATGCCGACAAGTTGATGATGGGGTTGGGACAATGCAAGTCCCTCGAGCCAACACACACACACCACCAATCAACACGGAACCTTACGTTTTGGGGTCCCTTTAAGAGGAAAACGAGCTTCCAGAACCCCCCCTTTCACGTCAGGTTCCATGTGGCCATGGGTCAAAATCCCGTACCCCCAGTGAACATCCCAACCCCCACTAAAATAGACTAAAATGGGTGGTGCACCTACCCCAAAATGGGATTCCATTGGTTTTGACCCACAGCCATGTGAAAAAGGGTGGGAGGGTACCTATTGTTGCCCCACAGTCACAAGAAACCCCCCAAGTCCTGCATCGCCGCCGCTTCCGCTCTGGCCGCGGCCACTTGCGCCGTCTGCGCGTGAAGCTCCTGACGCGGAAAAAAGAGAGCCGCGGTGAGCGCCCCAAAACCCGTGGCGGGTCTAAGCCAAAGGTCACAATCAACACCTGGCATTACAGGTCCTGCAGTAGAGAGGTTAGAATAAGGGTACGCACGCTATTCTGTTGTATCTATTTTAGTAGGGGCCATCCCCCAAAAAAGCTGGTAAAAGGGCACCTAGCAGGGGTCACTGGATTTTCCCAAGTCGATCAATTTACTGGTGGTTTTCCAAGGTCCAAAAAGGGAAATTATGCCCACTAACATGGAACCCACCAGAGGTTCAGTTGTTCAGTGACCCTGGAAAAAAAGGGAACCCTTTTTTGGGAAGACCATTTTAGTGGGGCAGCCACCAAAAAAAAGGAAAAAGGGAGCCACTGAACAACTCAGTAAATGGTCAACGTGTATTGGAGGGGAAAATGGACCCAAGTCCTTGTGAATCAAAAGGGCGGATTCCCACACCTGTTGGGATTGTCCCTCAAGACTCGCTACTCCCCTTGCACTTAACATGGAACTCAGGGGCCTCTGAGAGGAGCTTCGTCTACTGATGGTTTTCTGGGTGGAATTGGTTCTATGTTAATTTGGGGAGTAAAGGAAGAACAAAAACACCTGTCACAAGTAAAGTGGCCACCACGTTCCCATTTTCGGGGCTAGGCGCCGGCCCAAAGGGACTCCCATGCATGGTACGGCCATGACCGAACTGATTGAGTGGCTTGGGCGACGTCAAATTAGCATGGTCCTCCCAAAAAAGGGACAAAAGTCCCAAAACTCCGAGTTTCGGGAGGCTTCCCCAAGTGGCTGAAGTGGCCAAAGGTCCCAAAAGTGCTTAAAGCCCACAAACTCAGGGAGTGATAACAAGGTTGAACTCGAAACGCTCGCGAATCGTTTCAAGAAAAACAAAATGGCTCCAGCAGTGGCTCTCCAGTGCCCTGGTCGTTCAGCGCCACAGCCGCCACATAGCGCCGCGCCAAGACCTGACGAAAGGCTCGGCCATCCGAGTTGGGGAAGGTGTTGCTGTCAGGTAGGTGGGGCTGTCTTTTGTTGAACCCCCCCCCCCCGTTTTTTTGTGGTGTCCAAGAACACCACGACGGACAACCACAAAATTTCGAGGAGGGTCTTAAAAAAGACAGACACGAGTGGTTTTCTGTCCTCAGCTGAGTCCCTGTTGGGGAATAGGGGAAGCCCAGCCCCTAAGTGTTGCCAACCTTGGAGAAGGACAATGTGGACCCGGATCAATCGACTTGGTGGATTCATAGGACGGAGTGAAGAATTCTCTCGTCAACAGGACCCCTATTCCATCAACCAGAGAAGCTTCTTCATTGTGGGTTCCTATTCGAACAGAAATCAAAACAAACAACCACGCGCCATCAACAGGGCTCCCTACACTTCCCCCGTTTTGGGCTTTGTCTCAAAGGAGGCCACGTTTTCCCAGAATGTCTCAAATTTTTAGGTTCCCCTTTTTTTTGCCGCCCACCAAAAAAACGGGTTTCCCCTCAAAAAAAAACAACACCACACACACCCAACTCCCAAAAACGGGTTGCCCCCCCCCCAAAAAAAAAGAAACTCAAAGGACTGGCCAGCCCCCAACGGCCGCCTGGAGCTGGGCCTCGATGGCTGCGAGCTGCTGGAAAGCGCATTCCAGGCGCTCTAACACCTAGGCTGAAAAAAAGGGACCCCAGCGACCCCAAAAAGAGCAACAAGAGCAAAAAGAGCGACAACAAAAAAAAGGAGAGAGCTAATCTTTTGAGAAGATACCTGGAAGAGCGCCTCCTGCGAGGCCTCCTGCAGTGGGCGCTGAGCGGTGGGTGGTGGGTGGTGGGGGTGGGTGGCAGTCAGCGGCGGTTGGGCGGTGGCTGGCGGTGAGCGGCGGGTGGTGGGTGGTGGGTGGGCGGTGGCGGTGGGTGGTTGGTTGGTGAGCGGTGGTGGGTGGTGGGTGGTGGAAATCGCCTCAGAACCGCAAGTTTGAAGTCACTTGGAACCGGATCTGGGAATCGGCACATCCAAAAGGCGAGACTCACTCTAAAAAAGGTGGTTGCCTGGGCTCGGAGCCCCCAAAATGATTGGCTTCCTTTTGGCTAGGCCAGGGCCCGCCGAAATTTCAGATCTCTTTGGGGGGCAGTCAAAAGCTTAAATGGCTGTGGCTCAAAAAACCGGTACCAAAATGGGGTGCCCTGGAAAGTGGAAACATTCACCAAAACCTGCGTAACCCCTGCTGTTGAATTTGGAGCCAAACCCAAATAGGTGTGGGTCTCCAATGGTAGATGCCCAACCCCTGGGCATGAAAAACAGGCGTTCAGATTATGGTTCTAACAAACGTCAAGAAATATATGTCTAAACCCTAGGAAGTAATATTTGATTCTAGAAATATATGTCTAAACGACAACATTTTAGATTCTGGTTGCTCAACGCTAAAAGGTCATAAAATGGCTCTGGAGAAAGACACATGCCGGTGCTCGTTGTGACTCAGGGGGTATTGGGGATTTTTTGTCTTGGGATCGATCCTCATTGGCACCCTGTCCAATGACATGACCCCTACAAAAGTCTGACTTGAGTGGAGTGGCCCGTCACCGTTGAATATCACAGAAATTGTTCCTAAAACGTTGAAATCAGTTTTCCACAACCATGTACATATGGGGGGCCCTGAACAAAAAAAACCAAAAACAAGCCATATGTCATTCCTCGACGGATTCTCCTCGTCAAGGATGTCTTTGGAGAGCTCATAGCATGGCCAGTGCCTCAAGAAAAGACTGGTCATTTTGCGTCTACTCCGATTTGTGAACCATATTTACAACAGGAAGCACACACACGAAACAACTGACAAGAAGCAACAATCCTAAAACAACTGCATGACAACTGCAGAGCAGGATTAAGGCCTTGTTGGATAAAGGTAAGCTTGAGGCCAATACGTCGGGCTGTTGGTCTTGTTGACTCAAGAAGCTCTTGCCCCTTTGGCAAGCCAGGGAGTATCTATTCGTTTGCTGGTGAAAAAGGAACCAAGAAGGCAACAAGTCCAACTGGTAAGCGATTCCATCAATAGAACTAGGCCGGATTTTCCCTGAGGAAGCAAGCAGTACATCCCCTTGTCAAGGAAGCAAGCAGTGCATCCCCTTGTCACACCATTTGCGAGCTATGCATGGACAGTGGCTAACTCACTTCCTGTGTGGAGTGGATTGGCCAAAGCAGGTCCAAACGTCTTGTTTACCACTAACATGGCCGCCTCAAAACGAGTGAAATCCAGAACAAATCCTGGGCAATGTGGTCCATTGCAAGAGAAGTCAATAGTCTGCCAAGAATGACTCTTGTTTTGTCTGGAAAAAACAAAAACACGCATTTCCAGTGTGGGCAACAGTGTGATGATCATGTTCCATGATCGCCCACTTCCTGAGTGGATTGGCCCAAAAAGTCCAAACTTTTACTTACCACTAACCTGGTCTTCCCAAGAAGTGACCAAAGCAGGAACGCGGTTCGCGAGACTTCATTGGATGCGCTTCGTTTCGTTCCCTGTTGTTCCTGCCGGTTCTCAGCAGGGAATGAGGAAATGACCTTAAAAAAACCATCCAACTGGTGGTTTCCTTTAAGGGAATCCCAAAACGGTTCATTCCCAACCGCCATTTGCGTTTTTGCCCCCTGGAAAAGTAACGTATGTCCAGTAGTGATAGATTCCTGGTGAAACCAACAGGAGAAAAACAAAAAAACAAAAAACACTTTCAAATGGAAGCCAACACCCGGACTCGTTGTCATTCCCTACCAATCGCACCTCCCTTCTTTGCCTCCTGTCGCGGTATTTGCCACTCGCAGCCCAAGGGGCGGCAGCTCGTCCTGTGTCAGGCCGTTGGCGCTGGCCACCTAAGCTGCCCGTTTTCAGATCCCCCGCGAAGAGTGAGCAACTTTTGGCGGGTGAAATGGAAATCCAACCACTAAACACTCCAAAGGCTGAAAAGCTAAGGAACCGCATGGCTGGGAGCCACCAAGGATTTAGATCCCCCAAGAAAAGGGGCGAACTTTCAGCTCACTTCCTCAGTACACTAGCCAACAAGACATCTGAACTTTTATATATATATATATATGTTTTTGTTTATTTTATTTTATTTTTCGACCAAAAGGGTCTTCCCAGGAAGTGAGTCCGTGGGTGAAATGGACACCTCACACTCTCAAAGCCTGGAAACCTTAAGGGGACGGCTGCGAAGCGCCAGGAAAAGTAGGCCGTTGCAACGAGTTGTGTGGTCGATAGGCACGGATAGGCTCCGCAGTTCGGAGTGGCTGAGGGCTAGGGTTCTAGAAGGGTCTGGGACCGGTTGCTTTTGCGGATATCACCTGGGCTTATCGCTTTTTCCACAAGAAACTGAAAGGAGATTCAGGTTGGCTTCTCATCAACTCAAGGGCCATGTGACCTCCAAATATCCGTGGAGAAGAGGGGTATGTTTGTCTCTTTTGAGGGAACAGTTTGCCAGTGTTGGTTTGTTTGCAATGTAAAACCAGTTTGAAGGACCCTCAGACAAGCTTTTTTGTCCCAAAATGAGTGACCCCCCCCAAAAAAAAAAGATGCTGCCTGAATTCCGTTTCCTCGAGTTCCTTTCCGGTTTCCACCCGCCACGTCCGACGTGCCATCGATCCACACGCCTGGTGATACAGGCGCAGAGCCTTGCTGCAGGTAGGGATCCTGGACAAGGCGCAACCTGGATGGCCAACCCAGCGATACCCTCTACTCGACCAATAGGGGCACCATGTCTAGGTCCTCCAGTAGAGAGGTTAGAATAAGAGTACACTTTTAATTTTTCTGTAGTCTACTTTAGTTGAGGAACCCTCCCCCCCAAAAAAGGGTACTGTAAAGTTCACTACTGGGACCTGGATGTTGGACCCCTGGTGAGCCGAGGGCAAAGTGGTCCAATAAAGTCCCCCGTGCGGTCTACCAGGAAACATCCACTTAGAGGAAGTCGCATCTCGGCATAGCCACTTCCTAACTCTTCTGATTTGGCAAGCCTTGCTCAGCAAAAAACACCCAGCTCTCTTCCTGAGTGCGTTGGCCCAAACAAACCCAAGCTTCAGTTTACCAGCAACATATGGGTGTTTTTTTTTAGGGGAACCCTTCTCTGGTGTCCATTGAAAACCATCCAAAAGGGGCACCCTCAAAAAGATACCCATCCATAACATGATATATACATGATAATAGAATATGCACTCATAACATAATATATACATTAAAGTTCAAATAACTTGGGAAGCAAACCAAGGTTCAGAAAATCCCGTCCGTTTCTTCCAGTCCGACCAACTGGACCCTGTTCACTTCGCTCAATTCACGTCCTCAAGGATTGCACCGCGTGGACGCTGCTGGACAAAGCCTGCAGGACCCAGGAGCAGATCTCCTGCAAAAAAACTGCCGGCTTTGACCACCCACTCCCAAAAACCACGAGTTGTTTTTCTCAAAAACACTGTTTCTACTGGGCTGCCCTCAGATCCCCCGCTAAAAGTTTAGCTTTTAGTGCGTCAAATGGAAATTACCACTAAACACTAAAAGGCTAAAAAGCAGGGGATGGCTGGGAGCCACCAAGTCTAGTGAAGTGTCCCTGTGATACAAAAATTCCTGATTTCCCACGACTTTGCCGCTCAGGGGCCCTTTATTTTGGCATAGAAACCGATCCTACAGCATCTCAAGCTTCAAACCATCAAAACATTGAAAACAGAGGGAGCCCTGTATACAAACAAAACTTCCGCGAAGACCCAATTGGTATTCTACGGATCTTGGGTCAAACACTTTGGGAGTGACTTGGTATCACATACCCAGGAATCCTGAGGCTTGCGAGTGGATGGTCCCTGTCAACTCCCCGCTCCTCCTGACAAATGAAACTTGACGAAGAGTTGTCCCTTTCCACTCGCAAAACATACGGGCATGAGCCAAAACTAAAAACCAGGGGGCCGCAGGTTTTAGTCCAATGGTTCCATTTTCCAGGATTCCATTTTGGGTGCCCATGTTTGACCCACAGCCATATCGCTTTTGTAGGCTGACAACCCGGGCAAAGAGCAAATGGATTAGCACAGAGCAACCAAGCACGCCTTGGCAGCTGAGCGGGTGGGGCGCAGACCACTTGGTTGAACCAAACCTCTGAGAACAATGACTTGCCATGTACGCCACGGTCAGAACTGCAGGAACTGGAGGCCCAGCCTTCCAACCTAGAAAAAGTACAACATGTCCAGGAGTGATGCTCTCACCCCTTGCTCTAAATACCCAGTTTCCTTGGAAAACCCGATATTTGCATGGCAAATACCTCCATTTTTAGTCAGGGGTTGACATCACGCCCCCCTCCCCCCCCCCCCCCCCCAAGTGGGCAAGGTTGGGTTTTAATGGAAGACCTCAGGAATATGGACACTTGTTGTTCGTTTGGTTGAGTTTCAACGGGGGTGCCTTTCCTCCAAAAGTTGGAGGAAAGGAATTGCAATCTGTTTTCGGTCATGTTCGGATTAAGCAACCACTGCTTATTTTCCCCTCCAGAAGCGAAGCACCCCACTAAAACCAGGGAAAAGCACCCCCATATAAATCAGTGTTCACTTCCTGAGTGGAATGGCCAGAAAAAGACTGACCCCATGTTTTAAGGGTCATGGAGAAGTTGAAACTTTTTGTTTACCATTAACATGATCTTCCCAAAAAGCTTAAAGTACAAACACTCAGGGAGTGAGGGAAACCCCCGGTCCAAACTAATCATGGGGCGGAAGGCGCGGAGACGCGGCGCCGGGCGCGGCGCGTCCTCTGCCTTGGGCGTCACCGCCAGGTGCTCCGCAGAGCTGCGGGAGAAGATCTGCTCCGTGCCGGTGAGGTCCAGCTGGAAGACGATGTCCTCACCCCAGGTGAGCCCCCCCCCCCTGGCCAAGCAACACAGGGGTAGGGGTCAAAATTGAGTGATTCGGGGACAGGCGGTTCCATTTTGGGTACCTATATGTTTGACCCACAGCCCCTGACGGTGAAGGGAAATGGCCGGCCCCTTCAAAAGGAACATGGTCCAAACCCGGACACCCGAACGCCAGGTTGAATGCTTCATTGACCGGCAACCGTTCTTGTACATTATTGGATGGTCAGCACGTGGCAAGGCATTTTAATTTCCTGTGTTAACATTTAACCACTTCTTCACATCTTTATTTGCTCGTAGCCGTTGCGAAGCTGTGAAAGTCCAACTCAGGGAATGAGACTACAAAAAACAAACAACTTCCAACAATACGTCCAACCTACCTCGCCCTGCAACATGCATACAAACCTGGAGTCCCTTCAAACACACGGCCATGACCCAACAGAAAGGGGTGGACCATGGGTCATGGCGCATATTTTGAAGGGCCATAAGGATACTCCAGGTTGACATGCATGTCAGGGACGCCTACCCCTTCCCAAGACCCTCAGCCGGTTCAACTGGGTACCAACTGGGTACCAACTGGGTATGTGCCAAAATCTGAGCCTGTGTCTAGAAAATGTGGAAATACCCCACTTGCCAAGCACCTAACCCCAATTGCAAAGCACCTAAATACGATCGGTTGCCTTGACTGCAATGTTGACTTTGCAAAGGACTGTGAGGCTGGCAAAAAGATTTGCGTCCTTAGGCTCGACACCCTTTTGAGGTATGTCGGAAGGGAAACCAAGTGTCGTGAGTAGTCCCTACTTTGACGCACCTCGTCCATTTGAGCAAACATGACTTGTCATGGGCATTCATTTTTCCTGGCCTTGGACATTGGGTCCATGTTGAACAGCTGTGTGCGGTTTAAGGGAGCAAAGCCCCCTACTCCGACTCTCATCCACTGTCGAAGGTGTGTAGCCGTGGCTAAAGAATGGCCATGGGAAAAAGGTACATAGTCCAGATGATCGACGAAGTGGATACACGTCACCCCTTTTGTGACTAGATGGGAGTCGACGAAAGGAGGAAGGCTCGGACTTTCGAGTCCTTGGAACCGCTGGCATGCAGGGGGTCTGGAAATCAACAACTATCATTCGTTTAGAATGAATATGCTGGGACCGAACCCCACCCCTCCGCGCCCCGCTCCCACCGCGTCTTTCTTTGCAACACAGGCCAAACACCATGTCTCACCCGGTGAGACCCTGATAAACTTGACGGACCACATGTCCTTCCCCCGAACCTCTTTCTCAAATTAGGCCAACAAACAAATCCCTCGACTTTTGCTATCAAACTTGGATTGGCAACACATCCATTTTTTTTGGTGACTGGGTCGTGGCTCCTCGCCATTTCGGGGATTTCTCCTTTCCTGTTTTGACTTCTCATTCCTCTCTGGGTTCCTGGATTGTGAGTGAAGTCCAGGCAAAACAGAGGGGTCGCCCTGCAGGGACCTACGTCCGAGTCCGGCCCCCACTAGCTGACGCCTTGAGTTCCCGCAGCTGGCCGGAGAGGGCGCGGCGCCGCACAGTTGGAGTCCTGGCAACACACGCACACACACACACATGCCATCACGCAAGCGCCAATGAGTCTCCAGGTGACTTTTGGAGTTTGTTCCCCTTTTTTTCGTCAGGTTGCCTTAAAGGGAAACCACAAGGCAAACCCCCTGTCGGGGGCTCCCTCTATGTTGACACATGCACACAATTATATGAAGCTGGTTCAAATATCGACTGACAGCCCGTGGTGGTTCTCCCAATCTGCAAGTTGCCACTCATATGCCACGAACCCGACGGCTCTGGTTGAAAAGCCGCGGTTTATGACCGTTCAAGTTTGGTGTTGGAGCCATCAATAAACGAAAGTTCAACTGGATGTTGTTTTTGCGGGAAATGGGCGGTTGTCCTTTTGGTTTCCCTCGAAACTCCCCAAAAAACCAGTCGAAGCTGGAAGCTTCAGGCAATACAAGGCAAACAACGAGATGGGGGCGCGTGGCGTGTCTTAGAACCAAATGAATTCGTCATAATCATGAAAGCAACAGTGAGTGTACTTCTTTGCCACTTGGTATGACAGCTATGGGCTTTCAGAGTTTGGTGCTGCAAACTTGCCAACATGTCCCTTCAAACTCCGCCACATTTCAACAAATACCATTCTCCTACACCGAAGCACTCCACGACTGCAATCCAACTGCTGCATGAAACCACTGCATCCTTTCCCCTCCAGACAGGGACCCCGCTCGACAAACTGAATCATCCACCTGGTGGCTGGATCCGTTGGTCGTTGATTCTTTATCGAACCAAGCCTTCCCACTCTCCCACCAAGCTCGGGACCTTCTTACAAGTTGCCCCAAACTTGGCATGTGATAATCTCAATCCATACCGCCTTGGTACACACCCCTGTGAGCTATATGCCCGTGGGTTGACCCCGTACCAAGTTGGCCAAGCATCAAAGCAGGAGGTGTTGAATTCTCAGGGATTCGGACCCTGGACCCAACCCAAAACTTCATCTCATACAGATCCTGCGCCTTTCCTGGCCGTCACCGGGGGCAATCATCATGAAATGTTCAGTAGGAAGTCTTAGCAGCATTTTCCAAGTGCAAACCTAAACTAGAAAAACTATATTCCAAAACCGTGTAGGTGTCGAACTACCTCCTTTTGCTTGAATCCTCCGGTAGTGATAGATTCCTGTCAAAACCAATGGGGGAGAATAAGACAAATTCTTCAGCAAATGGAAGGTTATCCCAGTGAATCCCAGTTACCCTCAGTGTACGGAAAGGATAGTGCGTGGCTCCCCTGAACAGAAGCAAAACAACAACAAAAAACCTTGCTAAGAGCAGTAAAGCAAATGGAATTACTGGGCATTATGAGGGCAAAAACCATTTGCTTCAGCCCCCTTATTTAAAAAACAAAATCCAGTAGTCATAGGTTCCCTTGAAAACCAACAGGGGAAAACAAACCATGTTCTTAAACAAATGGAACGTTTCCCACGAAGCCGCCCGAAGCTCCTGCCGCTGGTTCGCCACTCCTCTCCCCGTGCGAAGGAGCGGGGCGAGGACAGCAGCGCTGAAGTGAGCCTCGGTGGTCGGACGCCCCTCGTCGAGCCTAGTTTAATCAGGGATTCTTACATTATGCACCTGAACATTGCCTTGTAAATGGAGGTGTCCCTTTATTTTGGTGGAAAAAGCCATGTTTCAATGGGCGAAATGTATCCCTGTTAATAAACCTCAGTTGCCCAAAGGACCCGCGAGCAAAAGCTATTCACCTTCTGGGCCATGACTAGTCAGAACGTCCAGCAAGGGGCAACCTACAAGTCAAAAGGTCAGCCTTGGGAAAGTAAACCCGGCCCTTTGGATGGCTTGAAGGGGAGCCCAAAAGGACATCCATTTTATTTTTGGGGTTCTGAGACACTCACACAAATGGGAAGTGAGGATAAACCCATGTTACTAAGAGGTGGTAGGTGGCTTCCTGCTTCAGGTTTTTCCCGCCATTCCTTACTGCTTGGTTCTTGGGCAACACACATTTTCTCTAAAACAAGGATCCACATATCACGGACCATTCGGGGGGCTAAGGGGGGGCTATCCCTAGATCCCCGGATAAGCCCCTTAAGGCCCCGAGACATCATTATCTCAAAACAAGGATCCAAATATCATGGGGGGGCTATCCCTGGATAAGCCCCTTTAGGCCTTGTCTTTGGGTTAATACTTGTCAAGGGGTTAATAAGAGATAGCCCCGCCTCCCAAGTTCACACCCGTGAAAATCGACGCAAAACACGTGCTGGAATTGGGCGCTTGGGCGCCTAGCCTTTGCACTTCCTTGCGGGCCATGTCCCGCAATCGGCCTGCGGAGAGCGGGCGATTCAAACGGAACTGAAGAAACTCTGGGTGGGTCGGTGGGTGGGCGGGCCGGTGTAGGTGGGGGGGGTGTAGGTGCGGGTATAGGTGGCGGGTGTAGGTGGGCGGGTGTAGGTGGGCGAGTGTAGGGTGTAGTGGGTGAGTGTAGACGGGTGGGCGGATCTAGATGGGTAGGTGAGAAATGATTTCGGAAGTGTTTTCTCGGTGTTTGGGGTATTTCCCCCTTGTATCTGGAATGCGTATTGAACCTGCGTTTTCCTTGATACCGACTGGGCACATGAGATTCCGGCGAGCTACAGTCAATAGCAATTGTTATTATCTCCCATTCCATCTTTAATGGAATGGCCCTTATGGAGGACATTCTGTTTACCAACATTTGTCGTGCATGTTATGTTTCCAGTTCTTCTTCGTGGTTTTCTTCTTTATCACATGATTAATATACATTTGTTCTAATAATTCTAACAAACAACTCCACTAATTGTCCGTTCATTGTGGAAAGAGACTAATTGTCTATTTATATCTTCTTCAAATTACCTCTGGGTTGTCTTCCTTCTCATCCAGATAATGCATTAGAAGCATGTGGGTTACTAACTCCTTTACCTAAAGTACCTGACTGGTATGTCTTATGCCGGAATGCTATGTTAAAAGCTGTGCCAAATACAAATGCAGGATTCATGATCCTATTTAATTCTACCTTCACCTTACTTGCTTTATGAGAAGTCTCTCACCTTCATTCTGTTTTATAATGTTTACATCTGGTTGATCAGTTTTTAAATTTGGTTTCTAAATATGTTTCTTTTATTTGAATAGGTGGTCAATTTTATGTAGACAACTTTCTATCTTATGGCCACATCTTGAAATGTAATTGCCATGTTCTTATCTGTAGCTCATTCATCTGTTACCTTTTCATATCTGTCATTTCATTCGACAATAAACACTTGGAAACCAATGATACTGGAAAACAACTCATATCATTTTATTACTTACTTTCAAGATATGAAACGCAATGTAAACCTGATAACAATTCTATCCAAAAATCCTCAAGTAGAAGACAACTGGTCTGGTAAAAGAGGCTTGGGCCAAGTGATGCTTGCGCTTGTCAGTCCTAAGGCTACGGGCCATGCCGAGGCCCTCACCTTGTAACCAACAGCTCCGTTAAGGACCGGCAGGAAACACAGTGACCATCAGACCTTGCCCTAGCGTCAGAACAACATGTGTTTCGATGCAGGAATTCTTAGCGCGCAGCATCTGCGGGCGCGATTTCGCGCAAACACGCTTGCCCCGCTGCTCAATGCGAAGCCCCTAAGCAACTGTTTCATGATACCTTGGCTGGCAACACTTCTTAAACAGCTGAAGCAACATCTTTGACATCGCATTGGTTCCTGTGCGTTTCTATTTGCTCTCCCAAGAGCCACTCCTGGTTCTTAATTTTCACTCCTGCCTTTTGAAAGGCACTCCTGCTTCATGCATTTGCAGCACCTGAAACTCCTAGTTTTCAGGAGACGGAGGACCCAGGCGTATTCTTCGGCAAATGGAAGTAAACCAACAAACATAGAGCTGGATTGCGAACAACGCCCCAATCCAAGCACCCCTCAGGCAGGCAAGCCCGAGACTTTGGTTCGCGGGTCGTTCGGAACTTGGACGTTAGCCTGGCAAAAAAGCCCCCCCCCCCATATCTCTCAAAGTACAGTAAGCTGCGGGTCTCATTTTCTGAGTGGATTGGTTCAGACAAGTTCGCTGCGCGGTCCAAGCCCAAAACGTACAAGTCCAGCTCGGGAAGAGGGTGGCAAGTTTCGATGCCCTTCCTTGCGCGCATGCTTCAGCCTGCTGCTTGGTTGCATACGGAACAATGGGGGGAGGAGGCTGTGCGTTTATCAACCAATGGCTTGGGTCAAACTGTGCCCGTAGAAAGCCAGAAACATCCTCAAACTGATCTTGTGATTTCCCTTGGGAAAACAACCGCTGCGGACCCAACGGTACAGGAATCCACCGCTTTCTTTTTCTATCCATGCAACGCGAACCCCCGGCCTTCCACGAGGAAGGTGCAGTGACGAATGAACCTCCAAATGCGATGACATTCCTCAGGCCGGACGCAGATGGTTAGTGGGCCAACATGGCTTGGTGGTGCTCATTCCCTTCAAGATAGAGGGCACCGTAGTGCATTTGTTCCTGTTTGGGGGTGTGGCGCCTGAAGCAATCCATTTTTGAACTCGCTGCTCTGCAAATGTTCGGTGCAAATACTCTCCCACAAACTAAGAAAACCAACATGTGCAGCCCCCATAGCCAACCCCCGGCCACACCTTGGCAGTGATTTCAGGCCACATAAGTGTTCTTTTGGGGGTACCCCGCTTCAAAAGGAAAACCACCCAGCTTGAGGGGTTCCCCGAAAGCAGACACACCCACGTTTCATTCCCCCAACTAATCTGGAAACAATCTTCACCGTTGACCGTAAATCTAGCCACACCTTCCATTTTCACTGACCTGATCTGAATCTCTTCACATGGGTCAAGCTGGGACAGCGTCTGAGCCTGTTTTAGTTTGCGCAACAGGGAAGCACGAGGAAAAAGGGCGCCAATTGGTACCCTTTTCAGGGTACGGCCCAGGACATCAACAAGAAGCAAACTCATTTTGGACATTCCCAAAACAATGTCGACATCCCCCCCCAAACAAAAACAAGGGAAACTCGCCCTTGGGCCAAGAACTGGAAGCATTGGCTTGTCGCGCGAAAACACCAAAAGGGTTCTGCGACAGACTTCGGCGCCGGCAGGGCCTCCTGAGTCTCTTTTGCCCTCTTTGGTTGACGTTGGCCAGGGGAGCACTTTTTTTTAGCAGTTAAGTGGTTGGATTTCAACCACTAAACCACAACAAGCAACAATGTCAAATGCTTCCCAACAACAACCATGCTTCATTCATCTTCATTCCAAAGCGCGAGCGCAAGAAGCGCCTGGCACTCGCTAGGCTTCAATGCACCCAGCTACGTCAGTTGCAGTGCGACGAGGGAACATCGCCGCTGCCTGCCCTAGAGCTGGCAAGGAGACGGGCACTAAAGTGCTTGGCGCTTGTCGCCCATGGAAACTTTGCCAGGAGTCGGGAGGAAAGACTGCGCTGACCGAGCACACCGGCTGCACAAGAACATCCTGCACTGCATCGCTCACCAGCCGCAGCCAGGCCGTGGCGACCAGACTTTGATCCCCAACAAAAAGTTCAAGGTAAAATGATGAAAGCCCAAACAAAGCGTTGAACATACAAGCCCCTGGTCTGGCAAAACAGTGGGTTGCATTTTGGCTTACCAACAACTTGCTAACTTGGCAACGAACACCCATAAGGATAAGTCTGGCCATGAACAGGTGATGATTAAACATGGTTCCCTATATCTCCAAACAAATACTCATCATCCCGACCAAGGGGCCAACCAAAACATCACCCCTACCAAGCGGAACTCACCTACACTCCCTCAGCCTCGCGGCCGGAAGCTCCCCGCAGGTTCTGGAAGCTTCCAGGGAATCTTCTGGGTATCGGCGGCTTAATGTTACCCTCTTTCCAACAACCATGAAAGTGGACAAAGGGATTCCCCAAAAAAGAAATTGGTTGCTTTCTGCTGTCCTGCTAAAAGTTTAACTTTTTTTGCTTTACTGGAAAACCCATTTGTTGGCAAAAAGTTAAAGTCCTAACATCCAAGCAAAATGCACGAATGGGAAGTAGTCTTCCACAACCCTCCAATCATCAGCTCCCATGATTGTTGGAGGCCAGGACCCCAAGATCAACCTCCCGCCGTCCCAAGCCCACAAGGCCCCGGACCCGCTGCAGGCGCGCGCGCATGGCGGCGGTGACCTGCTCCGGGAAGCCTAGGCCCACCTGGAAAAGCGATGGAGGAGCGGCGAGCGGAACTTTGGGACGTCTTCGCTATTCCTCGCAGGTCAGCTAGGTCCTCCAATCCTCCCCCAAAAAAGGGTGAAAGAGCACTACTGGGGGACCTAGTCAGTGTGTCCTTTTGAACAAATGCGGACACCCCAAAATGGGGAGTGTCGTCCCCTGTTTTTTTGGCATCCCGGGAGGATTTGATGTTGGCGTTCCGTGAAAACCAGAAAAAGGAACCGGTTCTCTGGTTCTCTTGCGCCCTCAAAACAAAAAGCCACACCCAACATGTTGTCAGAAACTCGCTCATCTTGATCCGGGGGAAGCCTTAAGGTTCCCATGGAAACTAAAAATTGGAAAAGAGAAACCACAACTTGCTGATGTGATGGGTAGGGAATGTGCGAATGAACCCAGGGGTCGCCTTGAAGGAAACCAGAAGAAATGGTTTTGCTTGGGGCCATTCCCACATTCCCTGCCTATCGCACCAGCAAGACAAGGAACCACTGATTGAAAGGGAAAAACGGGGACACCAACGCAAAAAAGGGCCGAGCAAAAAAGCCCACAGGAAAACATTGAAAAAACCCACAGGAAAAACCCACAGAAAAACCCACAGAAAAACCCACAGAAAAATCCCATGTAGGGGAAAAACACATTGAAATCAATCTGGCACCCGGGAACTCAAACCAAACAAATTGGATCTGAGAGCGGCTGTGTGATTAGATCAAGTTGTTGATCAAAAAAATATGCCGAGGCCACGTGGGTGGTGTCCTTCTGGTTTCACGGTTAATCACAAAAGCGAGGGGAGATCCGCCCAAGTTTGCAGACTCACTGCTCATGATCAATTAAGGCTCAGTGCATCACTGGCACGAAATTTAGGCCAAGTGGTTTGGTCCTATTTGGGGGTGGAAGTCAACAGGGGGGTTCTTTGCTTATCTGACAACATATTGACCCATGGACATAGCTTGATTTGGGTCCATAGCCAGGGAATCTGAACATAACTCGACACGTAGTGGTTCGTTGATTGCTCTCGCAAAGTCAAACTCTTTATGGAGTGCGCCATAAATATCTCTACACTCTCAGGTTGGGAACGAACTCCGGAAAGAGATGCCAGCTTGCATGTGGCCCAGTAGGTAAAACTGTCGTTCCGAACATGTGTCATTGGCTCAAGCTTACCCAGGAATAATGCACCCCGTACCCGGCCTAGGTTCATGACTTCACTCCGTGGGTTTAAGCCCACTTCTTGTCAGATTTGAACGATGCCTGGCCTCCATTTGCTCAAGTGGGACAGAATAACCAGATTTCTAGCCGCGACAGACTCCCTTTACACCAACCGGGGAAAATGCATAGGCGCCCTTTCGGCAAAATGGATGGCCCTGGCAAATGGAATGCCTAATGCGCGAACCAAAACCACGGCTAAAACATCCCTAAAAGGACATCCATGCCAAGCTTTCCAACCAAAAAAGCATCTGTGGGAACTGTGCATCCTACTCTTAAGCAAATGGATGGGTTTCAGTCTTCCCCAGCCATCACAGGATCCGTTTTCCGCGCCTCAGCCTCTGTGGCAGGGAACAGCGAGTGCAGGCCATCCACCTGAGTGGATTGAACGTCCATTGGCCCGGTTCGAACTACCAGTCAAACGACGCAGAGAGCGCTCCCCGCAATGTGGTTTTAAGCTGCCCCACTCTCTAAAACAACCTGTCCTGCGCATCGCCTTGCCCTCGGGGATTCCTGCGGGCCCATGACATCAATTGGTCTTACGACACCAGAACCTGTCCATGCCTGAATCGCCACTTGACCATCTCTGCTGCTCGCCGTCGAACCTGGTTGATTACCAGGGGTTGTCCCATTTTAGGTTACGCCGAGATGTCTTGTGGATCGTTCTTCGGGGTAACCCAAGCCCTAGCCCAAAGTGCTTAAGTCTCCAATGCAGATATATCCAGTAGTGATGGATTCCCTTCAAAACCAACAGAGGAAACTAACAGGACAACTAAATAATACGTGTATTCCAATGTACCCAATCCACTATGCAACACAAGAGGAAGGACATGTGTGGTACATGTAAATATATCCAGTATTGTCGAGCAAATGGAAGGATCCGCAAGCTGGATCTCCTGCCTGCGCCTTCACCTCTTCTGCCAGCGCACGCTCCGCCTGGAGAGAGGCCATGAAGCATGTTGACAGCGAATCCAATGGTTCAGAGCAGCCATGTGGCCCTCGGTCCTGAATGGACCCAACTAAAAACTAAAAGGAGGCCTATGGAAATTGATCCATATTCCATCTAGGGCCCCAAAATGACCATGGGCAACTTTTCCCATGTGGTGAAAGGCATCATTGTTGGTGGTTTCCCGAATGGTCAATCCCTGTAAGGGACCTTTTGATCAACCCCTATATGTATATATATATATATTACATATATATATATATATATGTGGTGGGCGGGGGAAATCCGTGGCCGACGTTAGAGGTTCACAAAGGGTCATTTGGTGAATCACAGGAGGGGCTTGAAGAGTCATGAAGGGCGTACCTGGATGTTCGGCCAAGCGGGTAAGCGGTTAGTCACTTGGGTTGTAACACCCCAACAACACGAGGGATTCTAGGAAGCGGCCTCAGTGCCGCAGCAACGGCCCCGCGCTAAAAGGGTATTCAAGGAAACCATATGGACAATTTCCTGGAATCTTACCTTGAGGGGCATACACAAACGTACCGAATCTTCCAATGAGCCTTATTTGTCGCTCGTGCAAATTACCGCACGATTGTCTGAAAAGCGCTCAGTTCCAGGAAAAAAAAGCTCGGATGCGTCGAAAAAGAAGGAACTGTCCATCGTGTGAGCTCAGTCTTTGTGCCTACTGTGCACGATTTGCAGCTGGCGCTGAGCGAGACAAAACTAGGACTGCTTGATGTGCGCTGTTGTGGCGGGAAAAAACGCTTTGGTAGTGGGAATGTGCGCTCGTTGTGCGGGCTTTCCCGTCTCAGCCAGGCAAGCTCCTGCTCTGTTCAAAACATTGACCACATTGCGCAAAGTGAGGAGCCTCAACAGTTGGCTGATTTAACGATCGAAGACTACATATCGCTCGGTTGCCAGAAAAAAAGCTCGCAAGCGCAAAAAACGTATCAGCCAGCAGCTTGGGCAAACAATGGAAGATCCAGGGTGATTTCATATCATGTTTCCTGAACATCTGCGATAGTTGCACCCCGGTTGAAGCTTTGAAGTGAAACCCAGGGAAGCAATTTCTGGAAGACTCTTCCCTCTCTACCATGTGTTCTTCTCTGCGAATTCGGGAGGTAAGGTCAGCTGTTCCCAAGGTTTCCTATGTGGGTGTATCTCGTTTTCAGGTCTCGTTTTGGAGTTCGGAAGGGAAGCCACTGTTTCCACCACGAGACAGACCCAGACCCCATCACTCCCGAAATGTTCAGGGCGCTTCCAATCGAAAGATTTTGTTTCAAGCTTTCTGAGGACCTGTGATTTTGCAGCAACATTCCACACACTGTCAGAGATTGTTTTCGTGGACAATGCATCCCAACCCCCGAAGCCGCGACCGTGCGCGGAGGCCATTGAAGCAAGCAAGCAAGCAAGCAAGCGAACAGACAAGGAAACAAGCAACGCTATTTGGGTTGAGCCATTCTGCTTCCAAAATGCTGGCTGCCTTCCTCAAACAATGGTTTGGGTGCCTAGCACCTCATGCACCTGATCCGTGGATCCATGCAATTGCCTCCAGCTGGGCCCTATGAATGCACCAGAGGTTCAATTCATCAACTGGGCTCCCATTTCTCCTTGCTCAATACACTAGGCACCTGGGATTCAAAACACCTTCTTTGGGTCGTCGTTTTAGTCAAGAAGCAAAATGTCTCAGTCACATGATAACTAGGTTTTTAGTAGAGAGGATAGAATAAGGGTACCACCTTTTTGCTGTAGTCCAATTTAGTAGGGGAACCCTGCCAACCAAAAAAGGAGGGGAGAGAAGGGCACCTAGCTGGGGGACCTAGGTAACGTTGACCCACCTCCCCCCCAAACCCCGCCTCGAGCTGCGGCCGGAGAATCACCGCGCAGACGTGCGCGAGGCCTTTCTCGAGCCCTTCGTCCAGCGCCAGCGCCACTTTCCGTGCCCCCGCGCAGCCTCAGCGCCCAATGGGGAGAGGAGGTGCTTTCAACATTTCGGGCCCCTCCAATCTGCCATTTGCTTAAGCCCCCTGGAACAAAACAAATCTTTGCAGTTGTGATAGATTCCCCTTAAAGCCAACAGGACATGAAAATATTCTTACGCAAATGGAAGCAATTAGTTGACTTCGATTTGGCTTCCATTTCAGATCATCCGACAAGGGTGCCCCTGTAAGACACATGTGTTGCGCACAAGCTGAGGGTACCCTTTTCATTGGAAAGCCAAAGGGAATCCCATTCTTGGAGGGTAGCCTGTTGGTGGGCAGCATGTTGGTTGGGGTTCATGTCCACGTTCCCCATGATGCATAGCCATGTTTGATTCTGGCCCAAAGTAAACCTTAAGATCCAGACTTGAGCAATGTCAAAAGAAATCCCAGGATAGGTCATGACCTTTGCACTCACAGTTGCAACCAGTCACCCTTTCACTAGAAAGGCACGCCTTTTCTGTTGGATTGCTTTTTGTTTGAAGGGACTTACATGAACCCATCAAACGGAAAGAAACCATAGGTGTCGCTCAAAAACGGGCCACTGATCTAAAACAAAACATTGCTTAGATTGAACATGATATTCGTTCAGCATTACTACACTTACATAGTTTACCGTTTGGATTGAAACAAGACAGCACACAAGGGTTCATGAATTCATACGCTGTGGGGACACGACCCCATTCAAGACTGGACCCTTCGATGTGTGGCCAATTGGCAACTGGTTGTCTACTTGGGTAATGACACACTATATAATGTCAGGGTTGAGTCCACTTAGGGAGACATACAGCTTACAAACTTGGCCAAACACCCGCGGGCAAGAGGAGAGGAGATGAGGGGGAGGAAGCTGGGTCCAATACAGTGAAAAACTCGAAACTTCCCTCCTATATGGCAGTGAGGGCAACCATAGGGGCCCAAAGGTAATTATAAGAACCCCTCAACATGCATGATCACTTCAAGAGACCCTTTAACCCTGAAACAGGGGTACCCTCAACACATATCAAAAGATGGGATTCCTTTTGGCTTCCTAAGTCAAAGCAAGCTGTAAGAGGGCAGCCTCATTTCAAGGTACCTAGGACACATCCACCAAGGCCCGCACCCTGCGCCAGCGCTTTGGCATACTCCCCCACGCGCTTCGGCCTGGTACCTGCCGGTCCAGGGATTCCCACGTGGCTGTGGCTCAAACACATGTAGCAACATCGCACCCTTGGCAAGTGGAACCAAAGACTCAATCCTGCGTAGCCCTAGCTCTTTAAATTGTCATTCCTTTACCGTGCTTTTCAACCATCGTTCTTTTTTCGAAAATCGATCGCTGTCGGGTGCTTGATGGTTCCTGAAAAGAAGGATCCTAAGAATGGGGAGGCTTCCCCCTGGAGCTTTGCCGGCACCGTGATTTTCAATTTGCCCAAAGGGCCCACAACTTAAAAGCTGATTTTTGTTGGGTAAACAAGGGTTAACCTTTAGGGCTTTTGGGGCCATGACTAAAAGGAGAAACCAAAAGGTCAAAAGGTCGATCCGCTTTGGGAAAGTGAGGTGTCTGCGTTTTTGGTGGGAACCGGCCCCCCCAAAAAAATGGCCAACTTCACAAGGGGGCTCCCGTTATTGTCAAACTGGGGGGATGCTCCCAGCCACATGATCAAGACCCAACCCAGTAGATCCCGGTTACCACTATAGTAGGTAGCCAGCAACTGTCCTTTTAGCTTTTAAGGGGTGGCAAGCAAGCCCGTGGATACTAAACCATGGAAATGGAATCACTGGGGGCTAGAAAATCCCCAGGTGCCGAACTTCTACTTTCCATCGGGTCCTTGAAGCAGCGCTAGTCTTGCGTTGTTGTTGGCTAAAAGGCAAACAGGTCACACCAAGCCAGCACTCGGGTCCCAGTTTCACTGTTTTGTTGGTTAGGGAACTGTGGTTGCATGGTGCTAGAAAGGGAAACCGGGGTGCCGATTGGCGGCATCAGATTTTGGTGGCGATGTGTTTTATCATTGAAACTGGCAGGGCGGCTGAGTAACTAAAGACGCTAAGCGGAAACTAGCGGGTTAAGAAAGACACATATCAAACTGTGAAGGCGGAAAGAGAGTCTCAAGAGTCGTCCGCAATTCGCTAACATGAGATCAAGCCTCAGAAAGAGTACTTCCCCATACTATAAAATCTCGTGAGGAGTGGTCCCATAATACTCAACATGGCAAAGTACAAATCAGGTTGCGCTCGACTAATTCAATATTTGGGCATGCAAAGTTACTCGGAACTCAATCAACTTCCACACTTGGAGAATCACGACCTAGCCGCAATGTCAACCCCTGAAATTTGATGGGGGGGTGTTGAAGTGAAGGATTCCTTTGAAATGGGACACCCCTCTCTGATTAATATGACTAGGTCCTCCAGTAGAGAGGTTAGAATAAGGGTACCCTTTTTTCTGTAGTCTATTTTAGCAGGGGAACCCTCCCACAAACAAGGGTAGAAGGGCACTACTGGGGGACCTAGATGACTTTCACACACACAAATGTCAGCTGTCAACCCTGCCTGCGCCGCTTCCAGCGCCGAAGAGGTCGGCGTCCAAGGCGGTGAGGCGGTGAAATTTCTCCTGAACCCGTAAGCCGCTGTCAGGTTCCATGTTAATTGGTGGGAGGGTATCCCCTTTTAGTTCCTTTAGGACATCAATGGAGAAATAACATGTGGGCTCTTTTTTTTTGGCACCCCCTTTCAGAAGTTGCCCCACTAAGCGGTAGGAACTTCGAGTGCAGAGACAAACCCATTAGGACTAGAACTCGCTTGCCACCAAAAAGGCGGTCCTTTGCCTTTGCCTTTACCCATGGTCCATGGTCGCACGGTCGAAAAGGTAACAACTCGGCAAAGGGGTATCATTTTCCTCTCAACAACTTGCTGGCTTTCAGCAGGGAATGAGGAACCATCCTCCATGGTTTCCTTACAAAGAATCCCCTTCCGGTTCATTCCCAACACTCTGGGCACCAGCAAGACAAGGGACCCCTCAGTGGTCCTGGCAAGGGTGGGAGGTTACGTGGGCGTTCGGCCAAGATAGCAAGTCGCTAGCCTCTTGGGATATGACCCGCTGACAGCAGGATTAAGTCCGCTGGGCACTTGTAAGGGGAAAAAACTTGGGTTCCTGACAACTTGCCATTCTCGGTTACTTGCAGCTCCCCTGCGAAAAGTTTAACTTTTAGTGGTTTAATACGGAAAACCCATTAGTTGGCAAACAGTTTAAGTCCTTTTAGTGGTTTAAGCCCATTAGTTCCCTTGGCAAAATGCACCAAAGCATTGGTCAAAAACCAAGAAGGCAAAAACCACACGGCGATTCCGACATATTATAGCTGGATCCAGTAGATGTTAATAGGCTGGCAACCAAGATCCCCACCGCTAGGCTGAATACATGGGTATGGTCGTCAAAAAAAACTGGTAACCCCAAAACAGAACCCTGGTGAATGGACACCTAGACTAAAATTCCAGCGGTTTTCTGGTGGTTTCGAACCCTGGTAAATGGAAACCTAGACCAAAAGTTTCCTGCGGTCCAATCCCTGGCTCCATTTTGACTCATCCCCATGTCACTTGCCCGGCGGTTCCGATCCGCCAAGTGAACTTCACTGAAGCCGAAGGACTTGGGATCACAAACACAAAGCCATCTATGGCCTTCACATGTCGCGTATGCCGATGGTTTAAGAACTAACTTAAGATAGAAATACGTTAAACAAAGGGCATCACATACATAATCAAAAACGATAGTACGAACCAACCTCTGAAAATAACGAAATGTGACATTGAGTCCAGTTGCACCCTTATAAATCAAGCACAGGCCTATTAATTTGCTCTAACTTCCGATTAGGCTACACATTTACATCTGATTATATAGCCATGTCTTTTCTCTATATCTTATATGATGGTGTTTCGTTCATATCGTATCGGATGTTTTGTTTAGCTCTTTTATGTTGGTCGGTCGCAATTTGGTCTGGCCCGAATTTCGCAAGGAGAAGTCACAACCTCAGCGCCTGGGGCTCGGGTCAGCGTCAACATCTGACCGAATTCTTCCAGTTGAGTATTGGAGCTGCTTCTATTCTGACCCTAATTTGACCCTAATTCTTCCATCTGACCCTAACTCTTCCATTCAAACCATTTGAGTGTTGTTTCCTCTCGAATACTACTTTCAATTGCAGGGTATATAGAACGCTCATTTGCAAACTTCGGCCCTGGCAATGAAACAAGAGTTGTCCAGTGAAATCGGTTCCCTTTAAAACCAACCGAAGACCAAAGATATTCTTCGCAGCAAATGGAAGCTATCTGGTGTCGTATTTCATGAATCTCAAAGATCCCACATCATTTCCCGAGCAGACCACTGTGTTTCTTTTCTTTTTTTTCAGGGCCGCGCCGCCTCCCTCAGCCTTCGATCCGAGGTGCGCCGGAAAAGCGCTGAAGCCACAGCAGTGCGTGTTGGGTAGTGGCGTTGAGAAGGAAGAGCCTTGGACGGTCAAAGTTTTTGGGCCCAGCTCAGCTTGCCAGGTGGTTGGAGTTGGTGGTTGGGAGGTCAGGGGCTGGTTTCCCATTTGCCTTCCGGAAAACCAGGGGTTCAAATCCCCAACAACTCATCCAAACTGCCGAAGGGTTGCCCGAAACTGCGGGTACACCAAAAGACATGTTGTTTCTGATTATGTTCCGCATTTGGCCTCGTAAATATGCTTGGAGGAGACCGCAGTTTTAAGTTTGCCGAACAATGAGGTTTAGCAACTGGGCGCCTGTCGGATGCACATGAGTTTCCTTTGGTGCAAGCGATGGAAACCCGTTCCGTACTCGTTTGCGGTCCAATTACCTGGTCCTTACAAGACTCCTCGTTCCTTGATCCGCTGCTAAAAGTTCACCCCTTGGCACAAGGGCTATCGCGGCGAGGGACCCTCAAAATTGGTGGCGTACTTCTAGTTTCCCTTTGAAGCAACCCCAAACAAGGCACTCTCAAAACAAAGACACGCCAGTATGTGTTAAAGTCCAACTCTGTTCTCTAACAAGCTGAAAGCCTAAGGATGCCTCAGGAACCGTATGGGTGGGAACCGCCGAGTCCGATTTCTCCGAAAGCCTCCCTCTTGAAAGAACCAGCTAGTGAATGGGTTTGTTCGACAAGAAGGCCCTTGAGATGTCATCCACCCCCGTACCCATATTCCCGGAGAAAAACAAAAAGGAAAAGAAAGAAGAAAAAACGCATATCTGGAACCCGTCCCGACCCTCATGTAAGGGGTACGACTTCAAGAGTATAACTCCGGAACCTTCGCCCAAAACCCAGGCGGCTTTTGGTTCTACATGATTAGTAAGGTTTACATAGTCTTTAGTACAACTCAAACTTTAGATAGGAGTTACTGTAACTTAAATCAAGCCAGGTAGGAACCGAACCACCTGCTGAAATGGCCGATGGGGTTTTTGGAGCTCTGCTCATAGATACGGGAAAACAAAGATGGGACAACTCCCTTTTATGTGGGTAAGGGGAAACTAAATTATTTGGGAATCGTGCCATCTACTTTCACCCAACTGTGACTCTGGAACCTTGGAATTATCTTGGCCATTTTTGCAGGCGGTTCTCCTAATTCCTACCTAACTAAATTTGGGTTACAGTAAAGCCTGTGTAAAACTTCCAAGACCTCCCAACTGCTTTTCCAATGTCCAACATTTCATCCAAAAGCATTGGGGGGGTTGCTGGTTAACCTCACTTTCTGAGTGACTGGCCAAAGACGTCTGCGTTTACCGCCAAAATGAAACACGACCAAAAATGACTAAAGTCCAGACACTCAGGAAGTACGGCAAAACAGGTTGGTAGCCCTAGGGTCGGTACCTAAGCAAAGTGTGATGTTTAATCGAGGTGCACCAAGGGACAATGGGGTTCAAACCATTCAAACAATGAGGCGACAAAAAATACCACCATTTGCCTAAGGATTGTCTTCCTCCAACCATTTCTTTTCATGGGTTCAGCCCTGAAACTTCTCATCATCCAATTCTTTTGATGGGGGGTTGAACCCTATGGGTGGAACCCGTTCCCCAAAGTCCACTGGTTTTGGAGGCAGACCGAGGCGCCTATCCTCGAGGCCGCCCTGGGCTTCTTCGAACGCTTGGCGCCGGGCCTCGGCTCCCAAGCAGCCCGCAACGAGAGACGCGTACGCGGAGGGGGGGAGTTGGGCTTCTTGGCCCTGGGGAAAACACACACGTACCCTCCCAGCTGACATGGGTTTGTGCACAGACCCCTGTAGAAAGACTACTTTCCTCTTGGAAAGGGCCTTTCTGCACTTCCATGTTAGTTGGTGGGAGGGAAACCCACTTCCGAACTTCCCAAAGGCTGACACAAACCCCGAGTTCGCCAGGTGACTTTGCATTTGTGTCAGTTTTGGTCCTTTGTTCAGTCTGTGTTCATCACTGTTTGGAGGGAGATGTCAAGACGACAAAAAAAATCCATTGGGAGGGCAATGGACTCAAAGGATGGTGAAAGGTAACTTCCGAATGCCCAGCCGAAATGATACGAATCGCCCATACCACCAAAACACAAGGCAAGGACTGGGGCCTTGTGAAGGACTTCGCCTTGAGGGCTTTGTATTTAGGGACAAAACCGAAAGACGGGGCTCCCGATCCTTTCCCTAACATCACACCTAGAGAACACTTAAATGACATGCGGGCGATGTTCAATTCAAGTAAATGAGAAAATGCAAAGACGCCCCAGCTGGGTTCTTTACAGGATACATTATGATGAACTGGCAACACTTTGATTCAAGGGCAGTTTAAACCAAAAGGGATGACCAAAGTATTGGGGCAGAAAAAAGACAAGTAAACCCACATGGTTCGAAATTGTGCCATGTACCCTTCTTCCAACCCGGAAACAAGCCCAAACAAGCAAGGTAGCTGTTCCAAGGCAGGCGGAAGCACACCCTGGTCCGGCGTGGCTGTTCCAGCGGTCACAGGGAAGCAACAACTAAGGCGCTTGCTGGAAACCCACCAGAATATCTCATGCAAACCAAATGCCTCATGAAACAGACCTCGACCCCGTAGGGCTTGCCGTTTGAGGGAAACAAGTTAGTTACGCAAAGGGTAAACAGCATAGGTGGCCTTTTGGAAAAATACGTGGCCCTGGTAAATGGAACAAACCCATCTAAACCAGTGCCATCTATTTTTAACCTGGCTCACCTAAAAAGGACACCTATGGTAAAAAGGACGTAGTCTCCAAACTGGGTTCTGTGCCGTGCAAGCAGTCCAACCCATGACCCCTTGGCGAGTTCTTCGGGCCTCAAAACCATCCTCCGAAAGGCCAGCAAGTCAATGGCATTCCTCCAAACACGGCCGACCCCAGGCCCTGTTGATGAGTGTAAGCAGGGCATTCCGGTTGTTCAGACATCAGTTCTTGGTTTCCGGTGAGAAACCAAAGGAAACCGTTCAGACCACTTTTTCCGTTTCGAGGCTGCCAGAGCGCCCCGGCCCCAAGGGGCGACACAAACACCGGGGTTTTGACGCCGTTTTATAGCCTACCCGATGTTTCTGCACGAACTTCGGAGGACACCCCCAGGAGTAACATGCGTTGACTGCTAGCCCGGGTTTGGGACGGTCCAGGCTACCACCAGCTTTCTCCAGGAAATTCCACTAAAAACAGCAGCTTTAGAAGAAGACTGGGTTCTTACCCGGCCCCAGCTATTGGGCTCCTGTCCGTTTCGGCCCGGCACCTGGCACGCATCGGCCCGGCATGCCCGGCACCACGAAACGATTCGAATCGCCGAAGGGCGTTCTCGCTCCACTGGGCGAAGCACTTGCAGACCTGGCGCTCGGAGCCGAGAGGTCGAGACCGAAGCCATGGAGGTCGGGTCTGAAAGAATCACCGTGCTGCTCAGGGAATGAGACAGGGAATGACCCCTATAAACCATCGAACTGGTGGTGTCCTCTCAGGGGATCCCTAGGTTCATTCCCTATTCCCTGTTGAGCACCAGCAAGTCACCTCGTTTGACGACAGAAAAGCCATGCAACCGATTCTTGATGCCTACATTAGTGAAGGCAATTTTACCCTCCCGGTCCCCCTCCAGCAAAAAGAAGAAGACGTGAGTTTCACTTCTTGCTGTTTAGCAGGAAACATCATGTCCCAAAAACATGTTGAAGTTCAAAGATCCAACCAAATGGCGGGGAATCGGTCCGGGGTGTCCTTTGTTCCTTGAAATACCACCCAAAGGGGATTCCATTTCAAGAAACTCCTTTATGTTCGAGCTACACAACACCAGGGTAAGATGGCCACATATTACATGTCAGATTCACATGAGTTTGTGTCTCAAAATAGGGACCCTCCCCCCAAAAAACACAAACAAAATAACAAAACCCAACCAACCCAACGGGTACTCTCAACAGAAACATACCCACATGAAGCCCTAACCTGGATGTTCAACCAACTTGGCAAGAGAGTTGTAACCATGATTATAGGGGAACCCCAGATACCCAAGCTATTTGGTCATAATTTAACAAGGAACAAGTGTTCACGACTTCCATTTGGTTAAGACCACTGGAAAAAGATGAAAATATATCCAGTAGTGACCCTTCCTTTTAACACCAACAAGGGGGAAAATACTCTTAGGCATTGGTGGCCTTATGGAAAAATAGATGGCCCTGGTAAATGGAATAAAACCCCTCTAAACCAGTGCCATCTATTATTAATTATTAACCAGGCTCACCTTAAAAGGACACCTACGTTCAAACGCAAATGGAAGACGAAGCGTCGCCTGGAACCGCTGGGCCCACTTCAGGCGCCGCATGCGCCGGAAGAGCTGGCGCTCGCGGAAGTGCTCCTGCTCGGGCGGGGTGGGGGGTTTGGGGGGGGGCCCTGAAGGACGGATCCACCACCACCCCACACCCAAGCAGCAGAAAAGCTGATGATGGCACCCCAACAAAGACACCCATTTAAACAAAAGAAGAAAACAAACGAAAACACCCCACGGTGATATCCCAACAAAGACTTCCATTTAACAAAAAAAACAAAAGGACACCTCGTGCACCCCAATACAAACAAACTGAAAACCCCAAAGAGAAAAACAAAACAGTAAACCCTCATTACAGTTGCCCAACTACTGAAAGGAAATCGGTTTGTCGCTGTTGACGGGGGGATCCCTTGATCAGTTTGAGAGTCTTGCTTAGGGTACCCTTTCTGGGCTGGTTTTAAGGCAAAACCAAAAGGAAACCATCATTTGTAGGGCCCTGAACAGACGTCAACCTCATCAAATACGGTTGCCCAAAGATTCCCCCCACAGAAAAACAACAACACCTGGTCAACTTCCGGCTGATTTCCATTTAAAGCCTTCTCTTTCACTGAAAACAGCTTAAAATGGCTTTGGAGGACGTCAATCTCTTCACATATGGGGCCGTCAAAAACAAATGAGCCTCAAAATGGCGGGGTTTTCAAGGAACATCTCCCAGGGTTTCAAAATATCTGTGGCATTTCGCGGGGCTTCGAGTCTGAGAGGCCGATGGGGAAATCTGATCAACTATCGTTTGCTCAGGTTCTCTCCAATTTCGCTCCTAACAGTCGTAATTCTCTGATTCATTCCAAAGAAGGGAGGGGGGGGTTGGGGGTTACCTTTTGAGTTCAACATTCAGATTCGAAAAAGAACCCTCAGGGGTATCGAGCCGGCTTCCTTCCAGGGGTCCAACTCTCCTTGTTTCTTTTTGTTACAGTATTGAAGTTTGGAGCAAACCTGTGAATTTGCTTTCCAAAGAGCAAACATAATGCAGCATCAACCTTTGCACATGTTGAAACCACGGCGGCTTGACCAACCTTCTTGCTGTCTCCCTTCCACACCATTCTTACCCCACCCTAACCCTCGGCTCAGAAAGACGTTCCAAACCAAATATCGCCACGGTTGACCATCATTTAAAGGTCCGGTGCAAAGCAGCCCTGTCGCTTAGCTTTGCTCCGATCTGAGATGGTCTCCACTATCCCCAAACCACTGCCCCCACAGGAAAAGGGGATATATGCCCTTTATGAGGCGGTTATGAAGTGCACGTCCCATCGAACACCGGTGGTGTGGGGGTAGTGAACGCCGTCTTAAACCCGAGCTCCGTGTCTGAGGGTCATATGTTTCCGAATCAGTCCTCGTAGCTGATGAAGTCTTCAATGCCATCTGCGCTGCAGTACCTGTCTCACTGAAAGTCGCCTCAAGAAATGTCCGATGCTCATGACACGCTTTCCATTTTCCGGAGAGAAGTGGCCGCTCAAAAAACCGGTACTAACATGGCCACCTTGGTAAATGGAACCAAAGACTAAAACCCGCGTAACCCTAGCTCCTTGATTTTGAGCCACACCCAAGTGCAGGAATTCCCCTAACACACCATGAGACGCTGCTTTCCAGCACGACATCTGACGGCTTTTGGCCAAGCATGAACATATTGGTGCGTCTTTTATTGAGGGCACCCCTTTTTGGGGGTGGCGCCTTTTTGATTTCCCTTCAAACCAACCACCAAAGGGTACCCTCAAAGAAAACAACTCCGTATATATTCTCCCATTTGCCCAAGGTGCCTAAAGCCAAACATATCACATGCCCCTTCGAAGCGGTTTTTGGGTCTTTGCCACGCATGTTTGAATCGACTCACAAGGGACATGTAGCGACCCCTGGGCAACGTCAGGGGCTACAGGAAGTCACCATAGTTAGTGACCATGTTGATCCTTTCAGCATGGCTCCATTTTGCCATTTGGCTTTATGGTATCCCAGAACCGCGTGAGTTGCTTCCATTTGCTTAAGCCCCCTGAAAAAATGAACATGCTTCAAGCTGTGATA